CCGAACCCCGTAAGTGGCATTCCTCAGCCCTACTCGCACTGGGGTGACCTGCTGAGCGGGCAGGTGACAGTGGTGGGAAACCGATACAGTGCAAGAGCAAACATGTCAGGCCAACTCTTTTCCTCGCCCAATATTTTTGTAGGTGGAGGCGTGTGTTTTAGAGGTTGAAGCGCATTTCTGTTGGCCAATTTGTATTGTTCGAGCATCCGTGAATATTTAGCTACCTTTCATTTGCCGATGATGAATTGTCTGAAATGGCCGGGGCCATTTATTATCGATTACAGCTTGAGCGTTCAGCCCGGCCGATTATTTCCGTTAACGAGCTGAATCGTGGAAGCGGCGCAGGAAGCCACTGCTGACCGCCGCACGGAAACCGCCGGGCGCGTCGGCGACCTTTTCCGCTTCTCACCGTGCTGCGCCGGGGCCTCTCACTGGACTCCATCGATCGTCAGCGCTATTTTTCTCAGCGGAGCTGGTCGAACAAAGACCCTCCCACCTGGGGCGGCGCCGTGACGGTAGGCGAGCTCGGACGGCTCGGCGGGGTCAGGCTGACCGAGCCGGGCCGGCCGACCGGTCCCGTTACCGCGCCGGTCGGTCGGCTGAGCTCAGTGTTCGGCGCCCGAGTCCGCTGGCCCGCCGGTGTCTGGTGGAGCTGACGGCTGCATCAGGCCGGCCTCCCCACGGCGCTGGCGTATATGTGACGTCACTGGGGTGTGATGTGACGTCATGTTATGCAGCACGGTCTGGCCTGCTTACAGCTCAACTCGAGTGTACAGGGTGTAACGAAATTATCCGGACACCTTTCGTCGCGCTGTAATTAAGAAGCAAGACAATCTGATATTTTCCCTTTTGAATGATTATGTAGCCACCTTTCATAAGAGCGCAGGTACAAATTTCTGGAGCATTCCAGCCACTGGGTTTTCCAGCACAGTGGGTTTCATGTAGAGCAGCGCGTTACTAACCTGTGCCCACAGCTGGGCGGCACTGGTGGCGGGTGTCCCCTCATTCATCTCCTGCTGGACAATAGTCCATAAGATATCGATGGAATTGGGATGGGAACTATTTCCAAGCCATAGCCCGTTAGCCCAGAAGAACAATAGGTCCTTTCGGCATCACGTCTCATACTGCTAGGGACTTGAAGGTGGTGCGCCGCCCCGCATGAAGACTGCGCGACTTGAATCAGGCATCAGTACGCGTTCAGAAACCGAGCCCTCCTGTGCCGTCTGGTTCAGTGGCTCCAACCAATCGCTAGCCATGATGTTGCGCCGGTAATACTCGTCACTGATAGTGGTTTTCTGTGGCGTCATGAACAGCTTGAATATTGCACAGCAGCTGAACATGCTCCAGGTCTGAATTTTGGCCGGATGTTTGACTCCGGCGACGGCCGGCATGTTTGAGCTGCTGGCAGCCCACACATGGCCGATTTGACGGTTCAACGGACATCGCAGCTCGAACAGCTTCCCATCTGACCAGGCCAGCTCATTCATGTCTTCCTTCGACCAGTGAACACGCCCTGGCCTGAGGCCAAACGTGGTGGACTGGTTGTTTTCCCGTCAATTCCATTGGCTTTTTCACTTTGAAGAGTAGTGAAACCAAGCTAAAGGGCGGGTAACGGTGAATCATGATGTGGGACCTCTTATTATCTGCCTTGGTAAGAATTCGAGTCAGTTTGCGGATTAATTGGTGCCGTTTCCTTGTCGCTATCCTGACAACTCTCCTCACCACTTGGCAAAGGGCGCCCTTCGCGATCGAGGCCGGGCTGAGTCTGCCACCAAGTCCAAGCTTATTACGTCTCAGGCAGATGTGCTACTGGCTGCTGCTGATGTCCAGCTGCTGACAGACCAGCTTCTGGCTCATGCCACCATGCCACCAACACGTAGTCTTACTCCGAAACGAGAGACTGAACTCCCTTCTCTCCATTGCCTTAAACGAAAACTATCAAATGAACCCGTCGGCGACTCGACTCTTACTCAGAGCAAGAGTCATTTCGCAAGGTCAGGGTCACTGCTGAGTTGAGAGCAGCTATCAGAGGTATGCATTCATCCAACTTTCCAGCTTCTAACATTAAAAAAGAAACTTTGCGAGCAGATATGGCGAAAAAATAGATGTCCGGATAATTTCGTTACACCCTGTAGATGGATCACGTCATTACGGCTATGACGGCGATGGAAGGGGCGGAGGCAGACACTAGTAGTACCATGGGGTTATCTACCGGGACTCATGACCGCCCACAGCTCTCTGCCTCGACTCATCGCTTTATTGAAGGCTGGCGAATCAACACACCCCATGACCTCAAAAGAAATGTCACCTCCGTCGCCCGGCTGGCGGAGGCTGATGAAACTTTCCTCATCGCATGGGAAGTTGGCGTTGCCTTTTTGTGGCCGCGCTCGGCGGGGAGCGCCGCTCTGGAGGTGAAACTCGGCGTGATCCGGGCGGAGAAAAGCGCCGCCACGACGGTGACCGTGTTGCACAGTGCGCGGCCAACCTCGGACGGCAGAGACGTGACGCGTGACGGGTAACGACGTGACGTGACGTTGCCGAGGCCGTAGGCTGGTTTGTAGGGAGCTGGGTGATGGCTCATTGAACAGTGTAACACAGCTGTGTTTGAATCGGGTATGCTCCGGTCCAGTGGTTTGTGCAGAAGTTTGACGATTTCGAAATCTTACGAGTCGACATTTTCCGAATTTTTGGCGAACATTCACGCACGTCTAGTCAAGCGTAACTCAGGCAGTCCTGATATTGCTCTGAGCAATGTCTTCAATCTCTCAAAGATGGGTCACGGACGCCAGAATTATATAATATAACTTGAGCTGAGGATGTGCCGTTAGAATGAATGAAATGTCGTCAGCGGGGACGTCGGCTCGGCATTGAGCTCGGAGCGGATTCGGCGCTGATAGACTCGGGGACGTTCTTGATCCTCTCGGCGCCGGCGGTGTCGACGCTCCAGGAAGCTGATCAGGGTCGCTGATCAGGTCAGACTCGAGCCCTCTCCTCTCGCACACCGGCGACATTTAAACGGGGGGGGGGGGGTGAACTTTTGATAGCGAACTTCCTCGCGTCCCAGGCATGGCCGACCTTTGGACCGAACTTGCCAACATCCGCTGTGGCGGGCCAGCGCGCACTGCTGGGCAGCAGTCGGCCACGGGACTCGAGGCGATGTGTTTATGGCGGCGACAGAAAGGAAGCTGCTGGGTTGCCGTGTGTGTGAATGGGAAGTGGTGTCGAGCGGGAAGCGGTGTCGAGTGTGGCCATTTTACGGGCTGGCTGGTGGCGCCCGGGGTCATTGACCGCGCCCGTCGTCCGCAGTATGTTGTGCTAGTTGGTTGACCGCTTGGGGCGACCGTCTACTCCGCCTAGCAACATGACTGGTGGATGAGTTTCGTGGCAGCTGACTGGGTCGCCGGGACGGGTGGGGGTAACTTCGAAGTTCGAGATATAAACATTGAAATAGGACAAGGTTCGCCATGCTAGAAAACCGTCTTCTGTGCAGTTTCAATCAACGTTCAACATCGTTCAACACGGGTCTGCATTCAGTGATCCATTTCTGACGCGACTCCAGCCGGCGCGTTGGCTGATTGCGCTGTATTTCACTCCCACCTCTGAGACTGAGCTGCCTGGCCGCGGAACATAGCGCTCCCTCCAGGCGTGGTGGCGGTACCGGTTCGTTGACAGCGGTGTGTGAACCATATGCGACCCGTACGGTCCCGGTCCGAGGTCCCATCCGGTCCCGGTCCAGGAACCCCTGTCCGGTCTCGGTCCGGCTCGGTGTCAGGTGCGCCCTCGGCCGCCTCGGCGGCTCTCCACGGACGTGTCAGTACGTGTAGGAGGCGGTCCGCACAGGTAGATCGGGTGATCAGCGGTTTCGTGTTGCAACCTGTAGCCGTTTGTCTCGATTTCCCCCGGGTCCGTCTGCCGCTCCTACCGGCCCATTCCGCATACGACACCACAGGTGTCTTTGTCTGCGGAGGTGGCCTCAGGTCTTAGGCAGCAGAGCAGCGAGCGTCGGCCGTATGTTACACCGATCAGTGCCTCCAGGGTTCCCCTGTCTCCAGGCTGGGCCGGTGCCTTCCTGCACTCCGTCGAGCGGTACCTCCTCTCGCTTCCTTGCAAGGGAGAGCGTACGTCCGACCGACGCGTCGGTGGGGCGAGTGCCGATAATGGAGCCCGCAGTATCACCGCTCCGCGGCAAGGTTCGCGGCGCGTCTCTGTGAGCGTGGCCCTGCGCCGGTCCTGCCATTACCAACCGCGCCGCAGTCATTACAGCCGCATTATTTACCATTACACGCCGCGCTATTCGGCGCTACGTGCAGGCATTCCGCCGCGGGAGGCGAGGTCGGGTGTCGTGGCGGCGGGCCACCCGAGACGCTGCACCCCAGAGCATATCACTTACCGAAATAACGACTCGGATGACTCGTAACGTGCAGATGGCACGCCGTCTCAGTTTGTTTTTCGAATGCCTAAAATGCCAGGGTTAGTTTTGTTTGTTTTCTGATCGCGTGCTTCTTGCTAATGGCTCATGTCCCATGCGTTTGTCTCTGTCCAAGTGGACCTGTATTCGGAAGCTGTGTAGTGTGTAAACGCCCCCCCCCCCTCCCAACCCCATCGGTACCCGATTTGACTACGCTTATCTCATACAGGTCCTCAGGTCCTTCCTGACGGAGTGCCTTCCTGCACTCCGTCGAGCGGTACCTCCTCTCGCTTCCTTGCAAGGGAGAGCGTACGTCCGACCGACGCGTCGGTGGGGCGAGTGCCGATAATGGAGCCCGCAGTACCGGAGAAGGACCGCTCCGGTTGTTTTTCAATAGAAAAACACAATTCTAACGAATAGTGTTTAGTGTTGAATTTGCCCAGTCAACTCTTTGTGGTCACGAAGGGCCAATACGCTATCTATATTATGATTTATAAGTTAGACACAGCGATTAGACACGGTACTAACCGTGTCTAATCGCTGGTGTCCGCTGTGACCTGTTCTGACCGTGTCCCGTCTGTGTCCCTTGCAGCGGTCGGCGAGGCTCGCGGGCCGGCGGAAAGGTGGCTCTGGGCGGCTCCATGTCGTCGGAAGGAGCGCCGGCGGATGAGGCCGCCGGCGGCTCGGGCAGCGCCGCCGCCGCCGCCGCCGCCGGTGCCGCCAGCCCGGCCGGAGCGGCCGGCGGCGGGCCGGCCGCCGAGCGCGGTGCCGGAGCCGCGGGCCTGGCCGGCGCGGCGGCGCTGCTGGGCGCCGGCGCTGCCGCCGAGGAGGATGGCGACATGGGCCGCCTGCAGGCGCTGCTGGAGGCTCGCGGCATCCCTTCGCACCTGATCGGTGCGCTGGGGCCGCGCATGCAGCAGATGCTCCACCGCAGCATGGGCAGCAGTGAGTACCCGCGATACGCGCACCGGGTGGCCAGCCAGAGTCTGTCCTGTGTGTCTCAGCCAGTCGGCATATCTGAAGTCTCGAACTATCTCACAGTCCTTTGAATATCTCTGCTTAGTGGCACATTTGTGAGTCAATGTTTCCCTTGTGACAATGCATCAAAAGAAGAAAAAACAATCTCGAAGATCCAAGGAATATGATGGCCTCTGACGTCCTGTCTCGATTTTGATCGACATGTATTGTCGGTCTTCTTCGTCATTGTTAGTGAGACGGCTGTCCTACCTACCGCTTCCATTCTGTTCCACACGGACAATCAATGAACGACTTCATCTACAGACCTCTAAAGTAACGACGCACCCCAAACTGCTGTGAGCTGTCCCGCCCTGAACAGATCGCCAGTGAAACAGCTGGCCTAGTATCCTATCCCACGCGGATCCCCAGTGACCAGGCTGGCTCCGTACGCCGCTACGTTTGTTTGGCAGCACCTCTCAGCTGGACAAGTTATGCGCGTGTTTTGCAGCTGACTGCCGGCGCGCGGGTGCCGGTGCGCCGCGCGGCCCGCGGCGTTTTTGTCGCCCGGTGCTGTGTAAACGCGCCTCGATCGCCGCGCCGCGCCGGTTTCGTAACTCCGCGCGCGCCGCCGGTCCCTGCCGCGTGGCCCCGTGAACAAGGAGGCCAGAGTGGCGAGATGGGCCGCCCGCGCTCGGTTTTTGGCCATCGAACGCTGTGGCTGCTGACAAGGGCCGACTGTTTTGGGCAGCTGCTGACACATGAAAGAGCATTGTTTATTTTTGATCCCGTGCGGGCCGCGAGTTTTGCTGATCTGGGCCAGTTGGAGATGTCGCCGAAACATTCCTTAGTCATTGTGTTGTGTTAGGCCTGGGGTCAATTTTTGACTAATTAATTGTACTTTCGACTTGTGGTATCATCAAATCGTTATTTTTCAGCCCAGCTGTGTATTGTGTAAGTCATAGTCTTCTCCAAACAGTAATATTTATCGAAACCTTTCGGACATTCACTTCGGAATCATTTTAATTTGTTGTCTTCTTGTTTCTAGTCATGAGCTTTTTCCTCCCAAGTCGCCGGCAAGCCGACCGCCCCTCCCTTCTTACTCCGTGTGTCTGTATCTGTGTCCGCGCAGGCTCCAAGATCCAGCAGCTGGTACAGGGCCTGCAGGCGACTGATGACGAGACACAGCAGCTGCAGGCCGTCATTGAGATGGGCCAGCTGCTGGTCATGGGCAACGAGGAGACTCTGGCCGGCTTCCCGATTAAACAGGTGGTGCCGCCACTCATCGCCCTCCTGCAGATGGAGCACAACTTTGACATCGTGAGTGAACGGGGGAGCGCGACTGGGCAGGGGAGGGGAGACGCTTCTGGATGGGAAGGAGGGCACACATGGACGGGAGACAGCTGCGACATCGTGAGTGGGCAGTTCAGCACATTTTCGACATTGTGAGCACAACTTTGACATCGTGAGTGGACGAGGGGAGCACACCAGGGCAGGGCAGAGGAGGGTGTTAGGTACTGGGTTGGGAAGACGCGGGCACCACGGCTCAGGAGAGTACAACTTTGGCATCGTGATTGGAGGAGGGCATACTGGCCGGGAGCTACCTCAGCTTAACTTTTTGAGTGGGGAATGGAGCCATAACTTTCGTATTGATAGTTGCGGGGGAGAACCTTGACGTGGAGTGGGTGGGTAGCGCGCAAAACTTTGACATCGGGGTGCCCGGGGGAGCACAACTATGTTGATATAGTTAGTAGCTAGGGGGCACAAATTCAACCCCGTGAGTGGCGGGCAATGGACCATCGGGGTAGAAGGGGACTTGGTGGAACCGGGCGCGGTGTGATGATTGGGAGAGACCACAGGTGTACCCATGGTGGGTGGTCGCACCTGTTGACGAGGCTGGGGCGGGCGGGGGTGGATGGAGATGGCTGTGGTATCGCTCATCCGACACAGATGGTCGGTGCCTTTTTGTGTGCCACAGCTGCATGTACAAATGTGAACGCGGTCAGGGCCACGGTCTTGGGAAGTCATGAAAGAAATGATTGATGCTAAATTTGGTCAAGTGGGGGAATTGGCTTCGATATAAATAAATGAGCTAGCCTGAACAATGATGACATGATCATATTAAACTGAACAGCACTAAGCTTATATGCTGCTTTTATGGGTAAAATAAAAGCTCGTAGTTTACCTGAATGCACAGGTCTCACGTATGATGGTTGCCTGGCAATAATGATGGTTATCCTAGGACTAGTATGGTGCCCCTACAAAATTAGCTTGCCGTTCAGCTCGTTCTATATGCATTTTCCCGTCATCCTCGAGTGGGCTGTTGCGGGACTCGTGTGCTCTGGAGAGTCCTCCCAGTCGGGCAGCTCAGTCGGCCTCCACCTGCGGACAGTTCGGCGAACGCTGCCGTCAGCCGATCTCATGATCTCTACCTGTCACGGCTCGGCTATTTTGGGACGGTGCGACTTCGGAGAACAGTCACCTGATCTGTTCACGGTGTGATAAAAACCACACCGCCATCCCGCAGTTATCCAGTAAAACGTTCACCCATGAGTAAAGCCTTGTTAAAATTGACCAGCTTCAAAAACTCAATTTGCAACAAGTGACGGAAATATTCAGCCTATTTTCTGTTTGACATTTCAACTTGATGCTGACTCTTGGCCCTTTGAAGGGCATCCGTTGTGACTGTCTCTGTCACCGTACGGTCTGCTTTCGTGACTATACTAGACAGTGATAGACTCCTATCTATTTTTGAAGGTCTCTGTCCTCGGCTGTCACCGGGAGGGCCGGGATTTTGTACTGGCTTACACTTGCGCTGGCCGGCGATTGTGGAGAGCTGCTGTGTGGTAGGGGAGCCCTATATGACAGCGGTGGCTGTGTGAGCGGATGGGAGATAAGGGAGCCCTTTGGGACTGTGTAGAGCGGGTGTGTGGGAGAAGAGTCCACATGGGTGCCCGCCGTGGGAAGTTGAGTGAGTGAGAGGTCGCGCTGTCTGTCACGGTGACATTACGCCGACACTGGTGTAATTGGATGGTGCATAATGTATTGCTGTCTGAACTCTGGGCGGTTGAATTACTCATCGATACAGACAGCGATCTGACCTATTAAACAACTGTGTTAGCGAAAGCCGCCATTGTTTGACTCTCTGATTGCTCTGGTAACGCGCTGGGCAAAGCCCAGGCGCTGCCAGAATCGGTGCTCGTCCCACAAGGCCCACTTCTCATCACACTCCTGTGCACCTGATGCGTCAGGCTTGTCACTGACATGGCGGGGTACGCCAGCTGCTTTCGTTGCTGTTTACCACCGCCGTCTTTCCCACACCGCCTATAGCCGTTTTCCCCCATCAGAAATTACACCTACGCTGTCTGAGCTGCCCGATCTGACCGCTCCTCTCGATCGGCCATTCGCAGCCGAACTGACCCCCCCCCCCCCCCCACTCCATCCTCAGATGAACCACGCGTGCCGGGCGCTGACGTACCTGATGGAGGCGCTACCGCGCAGCACGGCCGTCGTGGTCGAAGCGGTGCCGGTGCTCTTACAAAAGCTGCAGGTCATCCAGTGCATGGACGTGGCCGAGCAGAGCCTCACTGCGCTGGAGCTCATCAGCCGTCGGCACAGCAAGAACCTGCTCCAAGTGGTGAGTGTTTGTAGAGAGAAGGGGACTTCTGCCGTCACAGCAAGAAACCACTCAAAGTGGTGAGTGCCCAGAGGTGTTGACTGTTGGTTATGCTCTGTTGATAGAGCTTGACTGAAGATGCGCCACTTTGGAATTATGGAGTATTATTCGTAATTAAATGGGGTCTAAATATAACTTAAAATAATATAACTATAAAAGAAAGTGAAATTTATAATAAAATGAAATAAATATAAAATGATATATAATAAAATAAAATATAACGCAATTAAATGGGGTCTCATGTTATCAGCATGGTGACATGGTAGACACTTAACTTGTAGGGGAATATATTCTGGTTCACATACTGGGGTGAAGGATCCGTGCTTGCGCTGGTCTCATTTACAAGCCTCGGTCAGCTAAGAACCCCCCTGCACTACCGTGGGTGACACTGACACTGACGCTGACACCGATACCGGCTCACCACTGTCGCCGGGCTGCGCGCTGGGCAGGGGAGCTATACTGATGAAACCAGCCCTGATGGATGGGTCTGGGAACTCGGGGTCCGTCCCTGCCGACTGTCGAGCCGCACACAGCCGCCAGGCGCGCCGTCTCCGGTGACGGGACGGGTGTCGGGCGCCGCGCGGGGGTCCACCCCGACAGATACAGACAGATGTCGGCCGGGATGGAAATCACATGCTAATGGCGGCCGGTGTTTCGTGTGTGATTCGATATTGGACGGACGGACAGCCGCTCTGCTCACCTGAGGTCTCACTCGGACTCGGGAGCTCGGGACCGCGGCCGGGGTTACGTCGGTCTGATAAGATTCCCGAGTTGAGCTGGCGATATCGAGCGTAAGGGGACGGGAGACGGGACGATTAGCACCTGCAGCATGCGGCTCTATGGCGCCCTTACTGCGTATTAAATGACGTCTGGATTGTAAAAGCGCTGCTGTTGCGTGATTCTTTGGCTTTTTGCGTGGTCACCAGCTGCTGCTGTTCAGGGAACATGCACCGTACAGTGTTCATTAGTGTGGCCTTTGTTTGTTCCACTCAGATAACCTGTCTGTTGCTAGCCTGCTGGTATCTTCCCTATTTCTGTTTTCCCCGCCGTTTTTGCCCCGCCCGACCACTGTTACCAGCTGCCTCCCTGATAAACGCTGACCGACAACAGTCCACTCTCCACTGTATCTACCCATCCCGTCCCCTCCCCTACCGTGCCGAGCGCTCCCCTCTGCTGCCCGGCCGCCAACCGGTCTCTGAGCTAGAGTCGCCGGGTCCGACCACCGCGCCCGGCCGACCACTCGCCTCAGGGCCAGCCGATGTTGCGCAACGCCCAGTCGGTATCTGCCCTTGACTGGCCGCCTTGTTTTTGCGACTGTGCGGATTTTAAACGCCGCTGCTCGGCCGACTGACTGCGTGGAGCGGTGTTGAAGGGCGACAAATTAGGGGCGCGGACCGAGTGAGACGCGACGGACGAAGCGCCGCGGACGGGGCGGCGCCCGGTGATGAACGCTGCTGTTTTGGTACGCCTCCCGGTCCCGTTGGGGCGTGACCGATGTGTATCGTAACGGGTCGATATGTATGTGACGCGTGTTGGCCGGCGGTACACGGGCGGGACACAGCGCCTTGGTGTAGCTCGAGTGAATACGAATGGCGAGAGAAGGGGACTAGAATAGACTGACAAATGGTTCCGACATCGGGCTTCTGCGACACATGTATAAAAATAATTTAGCCGGTTATGCTGATGAAAGCAGATGTGTGTGTGTGTGTGTGTGCCTATGTGCTCTGGTGTGTTTACTGCCGTGCTTTTTAACATTTTGCTTCTGTCTTTCATTTTGACCTCTGTGCGTCAGAAACTGGCTGGTCCATTACTGGTGACTAACTTTTTCAGAACTCCAAGTATGTCAACTGAAGCTCCATTTCATTACTTGAAACGACATCCTGTTAAAAACTTCTCCAATTCCTAGTGCGTTTTTTGCCTTTTGAAGTTAATTAGTTCCAGTGCCGAGCTGCCTCGGTTTTAATTCGCCGTGCTGCCGCGTCAGTGCACACATTGTTTGTCCCAACTTCCCTAGCTAAATAGCTAATTTCCCTAATAATTTCCCTAGCTAAATAGCCAGTCCCCATACCTGTTGTTTGGCCGATGATCCGCACGACATTCATACCGCAAGCATAAGCTCTTTTTGCTCGGTGCTATGCGTAGGGGCAATGTGAGGAACGGCTGCACCATTTTCGCCTCTTCCTGGTGGTGTCAGTGCAGGCCCTGTGTTTCAGACCCTGCCGCTGATGAAGCCGCTGACCTCTCTGTCTCTGCGTCCACAGGGCGGCATCTCGGCCTGTCTGATGTACGTCGACTTTTTCTCGCTGACGGCTCAGCGCGCGGCGCTGGCCATCACGGCCAACTGCTGTCTGTCGCTGACACAGGACGAGTTCCACCTGGTCAGCGATAACCTGCACATTCTCTCCGAGCGGCTCACACACCAGGTGAGGGTGTGTGACACACACCACTGCCACTATGCGCAGAGTGCTCCTCGTACGGGCAGGGGAGTGGGCGAGCTAGGGGTTCAGTTTGCCTAGGGTGGCCTGAAAAGGCTGCGTTTTAGTTGAGGCGTGTTGGGCCAGAATATATGTAGTATTGCAGATTGGTGTATTTAGGATTCGCCCTGACTTACGATTTGCCGAGATTCACAATAAACTAACTTTCCCAGTTCGATGTCCCAGAGGAAGTTTCCCCTATCTCATCGTCACTGTTTTTATCGGTACTTGGCTATTACTCCTGTTTGCTTTCAAGGGAGATTACTGATGGGGTTTTACGGAGCTGGATCCCTCGCTGGAGAATTTATCCATTTCCGAGAAATGTTGCTGTAAACATCTTGGCGCCGTTTCTTTGACGAGCTTTCCGTAAAAACGATACCGGTCCGCCTCTGCACTCGGTGGTAACAGGAGCGGGCCATTTCGGCGGTGCCGTCCTTCACCTTTGGGTAAAACGGCGCCCGGTCCGTCAGTTCTCCCGTGCGGGGCACTTATTCTTGTCCTACCTGGGAGTAAATAAATCACCCACCGCTGCCGTGTGGCCCGGGTAGCTAGCGGACCTCTATTTGAAGAGTCTAGAGGAAGCCGAGCCGCTTCACTGCAATACCAGTAATGGCCCCGTTGCACGGTAGGCGATCGGGCCGGTCTAGCCTCGCGAAACCTCAAAGACACTTTTTTCCGAAAATTGGAAAACAACGCATACTAGTCGACAGAAAATTCATCAAAGATTACGATTAGTGCATTTGCATGGCTCAGGAGACATTTTTTCGTCGACAAAAGTATCGTTAAAGACAGCGTTCCGTAACACTTCATAAGGGGGATAATCACAGCCGATTTTTACGCTCTTTGAATATTTTGCGGAACGATGAAATTGCTAGGTGTTGAGCAACCATTTTGCATGGAAAGTGAAATTTAGGTGTTTAGACGATTCCGCTATAGAAAGCTGGTAGACAAAATCAGTTCAATATGTCTTATAATTAAGTTAACTTTTTATATTTTTTTCTACCACTGAACATTACGTTCACTGAATTAACCAAGCCCAGCAAAAAAAGTTTTACGAGGATGAACTGAAAACAATGCTGTACCGCATGCACTAAGACACTATCTATTAGGGGAGCCAGTGAAAATTTGCAGCCACTTGCAGCCCTGGCATCCAGACACCTTTTTCTTCTAAGGGTTGGCCGTGGCTTGGTGCACTTGAGCACAAGTGGTAGATGCCCCAAAGGGTGTTTTCGCGATAGCTCAAAACACCCAGGCAATAGAGAACTGCAACTTGGCATACCTGACCTTTGATGCACGCCGAATCTTGTGACACCAACCACACTTTCAAGTCAGGTCAGGTCACTGACCTATGACGTCATAAATGAACCTCTGCACGATCCTCAGATGTCGCAACCTTGCAACGCTCTCAGTGCCAGAGTAACTTTCACAGGGAGGTGAGACTTGCAGGACTTATTGTCCTTTACAGGTCTTACAACCTTTATATCTCAGATTTTTCCTAAATGTCACATAAAGTCAGGTTGGTCACGTGACCTCACCTATAAGTCAATGGGGGAAATATGAATACTGTTATTTTGGCGCCAGGAATGATATTCAATTGTCTCAAGTACATGGAATCGTTACTTCATGCACTCCTTGCAACATCTGATGCTGCATTTTTGCATTGTTGACCTTGCATTACGTCATTTATGACGTCACTAGGGTCATACGAGTTTTTCGTCAATAACTCCCGATCAAATTGAGCTAGAGAGTCGACAAGGTCACCAATGGACTCCGGAAGACCTGCCGAATCGATTGATATGCGATATGACCTCCTTCGACCAACTTCGTGATTTGAAGACCTCTGACCTGACCTTGACTCGAGGTCAACACCTTACGGTGGCCTCACCTGAACAAAAAGTATACCATTCGACGCGCCTGAGCAAGGCGAACACGACGATGTCAAAATCGTGGTTCTGCGGCTATTTTTTGCGAAGTTATTTACCAAAAACCAAATCCGCTGCTTGGGTCACGTTATGAAATGGGGCCTTGCCGGGCGAGGTTTACGCTGTTTCATGATATGTATGAATTGGTAGGGCATAATCGTTTGAATAAAAAGTTGGTTTGGAAGCAATTTTCTACGGAGGTACATGCCATTTCAATGTCCTACCCAGCTCATATCGTCATAAATTTCGACCTACCCTCAAAAGTATTCATGCGTTATTCGACCGGCAATTAGGCAAATTGCAAGCTCACCACAGAGCACAAATCCTAAAAGAGATAGTCCTTATTTAAAACATATGCTCATTGGATATTCAAGAAGGTTGCTCCTAAATATTGTGGTTCTAGCTTCAAAAACATGGATGTTATGAATGCCGATAGGTTTCGCGAGGCTACACCGGCCGGATCGCCCACTGTGCGTTGATGCGCCCCGCGGCCGATGTGCGCTGTCGGCGATGATAGTTTCGGCGTTAATGATTCCTCGGGCGTGCCGCTCTCGCTGATAGGCGGATATCGTTCGTCTGCAAAGTCGTTTGGTGTGTGTCTAATACCCAGCGCCAGATCCAAGTTCTCCCGCCGTGGTCTGAGAAGCATTGCCAGTTTATACTGAATTGAACAGACATGTTGATTTTTTCATGGGTGATTTATTCATGACAAATGTGTTCTGAATCCACTTCCTTAAATGTCAGAGTTGTATTTTAAGCTGTCTCTGCAGTCTGCTATCTTCTTGTTTCAATTAGTTCGTTACGTTTTGGCTGACTATTTTGTGCCATTCTTGTTGGCCAGAATTTCCTGCGAAATGTCCGCACGATATGTCCATTTGTCTCTCAACCAAATATCGACTCTGAACACCGCTTACAGTCCAATAAGCCGACCACACCAGCTGGTAGATTGTTGTGCCTGACCCGAACTTGTCGCCTAACCGCTGCCCCCTACTCTCCCCCAAACAGGATAAGAAGACTGTGGAGAGCGTATGTCTGGCGTTCAGCCGTCTGGTGGACACGTTCAAGACCGATCCAGCCAAAGTGAAGGAGATCGCTCGCCACGGCCTGCTCGCCAATGTCCAGCGCCTGGTGAGTGACGTCATAATATGACGTCAGGGGCATGGTCTGACATTAATACGGGAAGGGAGAGGAAACATGCGTGGATATGTGTCATATGTCAGACGGGTTGAAGGCCAGCTCCGTTTTATGTGACGACACTGCGAAAATACGGCAATTTCATTACCTCGACCGCGACAGATAATCGCCGAAATGGACTTGTTTTCGTAGCGATGCTGGGCCCTGTAACTAGGGAGTTATATGCGGCGCTGTGTCATTGTGGACAGCCATGACATAACACTTGTATGAGTGAAGGTCACTGGTAAAGAGTTAGATACGGAGCCGCCGCCATGGTAACAGAATCTTGCTCACATCTCACAAACATAACTCGTAACTATCCAATGTCAGACTAATGTCATGCCGCTATGACATCCATTGTATTGGCCATAAATCCACGAATCCATCAATCAACTTTTTATGTCAGGGGCTGTAGTCATAGAGATATTGGGGACCCGGGTTTACCGAATGTGTTGTTCCGAGGCTTGTACATATTATGTGGGCCATAAAGCATAGTCCCGTTTTGGTTTTCTACTCGCCTCCGCACCCGGCGTCGCGACCTCCCTGCAGCGGTTCTTGCCGGTGTGACGGGGGCGTGGTGCACGCGGCGTGACTTTCAGCACGTCACGGAGGCGTGCCAACAGCGCGTGACGCCAGTGTGACGCGTCACGCGACACGCGCGGAGGCCCGGCCGGCCGTCGAGCCATGGTGTGTGCCGCGGCGAGAACGGGACGTGCGGAGCGTCGCGTGCTCCGGTGGGAGTCTGCGGTTGGTCGTGATCTGGCGCGGCTGAAATATCGGCCTGCTGGCCGCGATATAGCACAATGTAGCGGTGCTGCTGTGAGGGAGGTCTTCGGCCGTATCAGTGCAGAGGTCTCAGAGAACTGACGATCTCAGGACTCTATCGGTGGAGAGACCCTGTTGAACCCTGTTGAAGACGGCGCAGAATGCTGCCGCATAGTACGGCGGTCCGTCCAAATGCTGTGTTTGGCACGGCTGGTGGCCTGGTTGAACTGTGAGTAGTATGGCAGCCCGGCCGAGTGCTACCATTCTGTACCTACGCCGCGGTCTGGTCGAACTGTGAGCAGTAAGGCGGTCCGGCGCAGTGTTATGCTCAGTACGGCCTGTTCGAACTGTGAGTAGTACGGCGGTCCGGCCGAGCCCGCGCGTCGTACTCGCGGCTCGCGGCGCCGGCTGGTCTGCGCCGCCGCCGTCGGACCGATGCCAGCGGACCGCTCCAATCGATGGGCGCCAGCTGCGGCACACCTCCCCTCCGCCCTCCCTTCCGTCCAATCCCCGTCACCGTCGTGGGCTGGTCTCCCGCGCTCGGGAGGGTAGGGAAACCAACGCACGCTTGCATCACCCACTGAATATACTCATCAGAGTTCATCGCAGGTCCAACTCCTTTATCATTGATTTGGTTAAATGTGCTGTGCCAATGGTGTTTTATTAGCGGCCCTGCTCGTTCCGAGTTGTGTAAAATCGCTCACTCGGTCATGAACCTCATACATTTACCCAGTGCACTTGATGGATCGTGGATCAATGTTAAGCCAGGCAACAGCGGCCTGTTTTGGAACAGGCTCACTGCACTAGTTGGCTGATTGCTGACGGTAAAGTTGAACGCCAATTTCCTTAACGAATCCGCTAAGCAAATATTGATCCAGCGCCGGTCGGCCATCTCGGCAGCGTGGAATTCCCGCTCTATGGCTGTCTAGGTGTCGGGCTTTGAGCCCCAACTGCGTGGAGCGGGCTCGGCTGAGGTGGGCGGCAGTTGTGATGGTGGACTTCCACCAGGAAGTGGCGCACCAAAACAAACTGACAGCGCTCCATCACGCCGGCGCCCAGTACGTGTCTGTGTGCGTTGGCAGCGCGCCATGAAATGCCTCCTGGCTGGGGCGGACGCTCTCGGCGAGTCTTCACCGGGGCTACTCGTATCTCCCCTCCTCGGAGCTCTCTCCCTCTCTCCCTCCTGATCGCCCGACTCTGACTCGGGAGTTTTTGACGATGTAACGGACGCTCCATGAACCGTTACTGCACCGCCACCATTGCCGGTCCGCCCGGCCACCCACCCTCGCCTCCGCTCCTGCCCGCCTCTACCACAGTTGGGCCGGACGTGGGACCTCCTCCTCCATCCCTCCCCCTCCGTCCGATAGATCCGGTCACAGTGGACACAGCGGACCGTTTTCCTCTTTCCTGGCCCGCCTTGCAGTCACCTAACCGTTACTGCAGTATTTGTCCCGAATCGGCTGACGGAGGCTGGCCTGGCATGGAACTTGGCTGTGGAGTGCTTAGTGTACGATAGCTAGCATTATGAGTTGTTACGGGGCGTACCCAAGCGTTTCATGTTAATGCGTCATGCTTTATCGTATCCAGTAAAACGCAGTGGCTGAACGGCCGCCGAGGTTCTTCCCCGGTCGGCGAATCTGTCGTTTGTCGGTTCACACCGCAGTCGCTGGTGTATAACTGAGACATCTGCCATCCCTGGCCCGCCGTGGACGTTTTGGCCGCGGTCCATGCCACTCCTCGCGCTGGCCAGGGTTTGTTATTGAACAAGCACGTGCCTGGCCAGCTTCCTGTGTATCAAGGTCATGACTCAGGGGTAGCGGCGACCGAGCCAGCGAGCAGGATGTGCCCCAAGGCCGGCCCAGAGCCGTTCCTCTGAGATGGCAGGGCGGCGAGCTTCATCAGTCATCGATGAATGCTAATGTCCGTCGTCGTGGCGTCGCAGCGCGGCTGAGTGCGAATTTCGGCAGAGTCCCGCCCGGCTGATGGATGGGGCGGTGAGTGTCGCTGCTGCTTCGCTGATAGGTTGTCTTGCTTTGGTCTTGCTCACCCAGCAGCGTGAGGTTCTAGCTTGGGGTCTGTGTGAGTCTGGGTGAGTCGTTCACTCGGACTCTGGCGGGGCGTGTGACGGTGACGGGCCGTGTGTGACGGACTCGTGTGACGGTGACGTGACTGATCGTGATATCTGTCAGATCACGTCAGACCAATGACCTGTGTCACGTCAGACCGATGATCTGCCCCTGAGGCCCGCCAATCTGCGGACCGGCCCCGAACTATCGACCAACCCAGAGCTCGTCGCCGCCGCTGGGGAAACTTGGGCCCTGGCATGAATGTTTCGAGTCGTGTCAGCCCAGTCATTGCGACATTTTATGTTCGAATCGACTGCATCGATCACGGATGCACCGTAGCTGGCGAAGGACGGCCGACGTTTATCGAATTGCAGCGCCACAGCTCGGCGTCAATTTTACGACAGTGTACTGCGCGTCAAACTATAAACGACAGTGGCGTAGAAACAAGTGTTCACTTCCTTATGCAACATTCATTTGCCTTCACGATCCGCATATGTCCACTCGCATTGTTTTTCGTTGTGTTACTTATAAATTCGTCAAGATTTTTCCATCAGACAGGCAAGTTCATTAGGCTGGTTGCTCCTTTTCTAAGCACGTTCGCCATTATAACAGCCCCGCTGCCCTCACACCGAATACCACCTGCCGACATTTGCTCCCCCCCCCCCCTCCTCACTGTCCCCACCACGTCAGCTGGCGGCAGGTGGGGGGGGGATGAGGCTAGCACGTGTTCCGGCCGTGTGCGGTGTGGGGAGGGGGAGGGGTAGCGTGTCAACACGGGTGAGGTATTGAAAATGCAGCGTCGCTGCGGGGAATCGATTAAATGCACTCCGGTACTTCTGTACTTGGAGCTCAGCCCTGGGCCACCTGACAGCACTGCATCGCATCCCTACTGCAATTTGCTGACCAACACTTACCTTACCGAGTCGACCAACACTGCCAAGAGTCTTTGTTCGTCCTTGCTGTTACTGCATCGATGGGTAGAACATATATATGTTACAGTTAGTATGCGAAATCCGTTAGTTTGCAACGCAACTAGTTTCGTTGCAAACTACCTGACCAGCCAGGTAGTTTGCAACGAAACTAGTTCCGTTGCAAACTAACTGATCGTCCAGTTAGTTTGCAAACTAACTAGTTAGGATGCAAACTACCTAGTTACTTTACAACGGAACTACTATGAACGTCAAACCCCTTGAGACCCCACTTTTTTGCGATAATTTTTAAATGCGTCAACTTTCGTTGACAATATTCTGGCAATGTATGTTTCAGAACCTGCCGAAACTTTTATTACTAAGGTATTTTGACGCCAAACGATTATGGAAGGTACTTCTCATTCACTCGTAATGCTAAGGTCAATTCAGGCCCGGGCAGAGGCTTGCGCTCGGCCACACTCGAGCACCGCCACCAGCGCCATCTGCTCTAAATGCCATCTACCAGCGCCCGCTACCGCTACCAGCTACCGCCCACCATCAAGCCTGAATGGAGCGAGAGACGCGAGTGACCGGTCGCCGGGCAAGGAGCGCCGGAGGGGTAGGGCGGAGCTTAGCGCTGACGTCATTACGTGGCTCCGCCCCGTGAGCGCGTAGCCTCTACCCAAACAGCAGATTCGTTCCGTGAAATTTAACATTACGAGTGAATGAGAAGTACCTTTCATAATCGTTTGGCGTCAAAATACCTTAGTAATAAAAGTTTCGGCAGGTTCTGAAACACACATTGCCAGAATATTATTAACGAGAGTTGACGCATTTAAAAATTATCGCAAAAAAGTGGGGTCTCAAGGGGTTTGACGTCCATAGTAGGTGTGTTGCAACGTAACTAGTTGTAATGCGAAATCGACGAGGCAGTGGCTCTATTTGTCGGTTATATTAAACTTTTATGTAAATTTTAGCAACGGTTGTTAAAACAAAGCTGTGCTTTTCTGACTTCGACTACCTACATAACGTTACGATCACTGGCGGATCCAGAGGGGGGGGGGGGGCAAAATCGCTCCGCCATCCACGCAGCGCCCGAAAGCGACAAATATTTACTTATTTTGAGAACTAAACGAAAACTGAACAACTTTTATAATCAAATACTTGTGTTAGGTTGTCATAGCCGTGTGAAAGGATTGGAATCAAAATCCGAAAGGTTTTTGGAAAACTTTTTTGGGATTATGTCTCCCGCAACGTTTAAGACCATCTTTCTGGAACCGCCAGTGATCACCATAAATGTGTAGACATAACCCGCGCCCCACTGGGGGGGGGGGGGCTATTCATAGCCCCCCCTCCCGTTTTTCTGCAATAACTTCTAAACCGCTTGACGTATCGCCGCCAAACTTTCAGTAGGTACCTTCAGCTGCATCAATTTGACACCTTGTGTCAAAATTTGAACTTCGTATCTATCATAGGTCGGCCGGAAATGACGTCAGAGTGACGTCATGATCGATTTTCAAAATTTTCAAAATTTTGTTAGCTTTGAAAATTATACATATTAAAATCTAAAAGTTGTTTTTATCTTTTTTCAAAAACTTTTGGACTTTTCGAAAAAAAACGGAATAAATATGATAGAACACATGCTTATGACTTACTCTAGCAAGTTTTAGCCAGATATCTTCAAAAATGGCGAAGTTATACGCATTATAGCAACAATTTCACAATTTAAAATTTTCAAATCAATTTTTCTGTACCAATTTGACATCGTACACCAATATAAACAGCACCATCGTGTTCCTGAGCTCAAACTGCATCCGATAGACATGTTTTTGTTGAAAAATTTCAACTTTAAAATTTGTCCTTTTTTGACCTGAAAGTGACCTGACCTCAGCTATATTCAGATGAAAATGGCCTCAACTGACACAGGCGACACCGAATTCGAAATCTATGGCCTAAACGGATCATAAAACATGTGTCACGTGACCGACTTATGACATAAGATTTCCGTGACCTATGATGACCTGACCCTCACCTGAAAATCAAAGTACAAGTCTGGTACCCTCTAGAGATGTCAATCGGATACCAACTTTTTGGTATACCGATACCAAACCGATACCAACTTGGTATTTGGTATTTCAATCCTAATGTGTTTGGTATTTTGTTGTATTATGAACCCTTACTAATGTATAAGAGGCTAAGAAATTGGTAAAAAGTTGGTATTTCCCTCACTTTTCAAAGTTGGTTCGGTTTCGGTATTTCCCCACGGTTTTGGTTGGTATTTGGTTTGGTATCGGTATTCCGATTTTCTGTAATTGACATCACTAGTACCCTCAGAGTATCTAAAGCATCTGTTCACGAGTGTGTAAACCAAAAATCAGCCTGATCTGACTTGTAAGACGGCAGTCACAGAGCCCAAAAGGTGAACAAGCCAAATATCGATAATTTTTACTTTGACCTGACCTGTGACGATATCGGTGACCTTGAGGTCAATGAAATTTGGTTTCATTCAACAGTTTTTCCGGGGCTATTAGATGCCATTTGAATTTTGACGATCGGCCTAGTAGTTTCGGAGTAAGGAGTTACCGAATGACCCCCCCCCCCCCCCCCAGTAGGGCGTGTTATACACAGACCCCAGTGGGGCGCGGGATAAGCGGAAAGTAAAGGTTCTGCTGCCGATTTCGGAATATTCCATAACCGAGTCGCTGACGAGCTCCTACCTCCACAACCGATCAGTCTGTGACGCAACCTGCCCTTTGATCATTGGCTGTTACCGAATGACCCGGCACCGCTAGGTCACCTGGCTAGGCAAGTCGCAGTAGGAGTCGGCCGGTGAGACAGATTCTTGATCGCACGCTTACCCCGGATCACGGGACAATATGGGACAATACTGTTCTGTTCTGTGCGGCGGCGGTGGTGACTGGTGTTAGTGGGTGTCTAAAAAAAAAAATCAAAAAAATCGCAAAATGTCCCCCGGAACTGCCCCTCCTCTGGATCCGCCAGTGATCGTCACATTATGTAGTCGAAACTGTTTCAATTTTCATCCATAAATGTGACCACCCGTCCTACTCGTATGCCTATGTAGTGTCACCCATTAGAAAAACACAGCTTTGTTTTAACAACCGCTGCTAAAATTTACGTAAAAGATGAATATAAACGACAGATAGAGCCACTGCCTCGTCGATTTCGCATTACAACTAGTTCCGTTGCAACACACCTAGTTCCGTTGCAAAGTAACTAGGGAGTTTGCATCCTAACTAGTTAGTTTGCAAACTAACTGGACGGTCAGTTAGTTTGCAACGGAACTAGTTTCGTTGCAAACTACCTGGCCGGTCAGGTAGTTTGCAACGAAACTAGTTGCGTTGCAAACTAACGGATTTCGCATACTAACTGTAACATATACAGCTTATGATTCGAATTCGACGGACGTTCGGTAGTTATCCCAAATATTCACAAATTATGGAGACAAACCGTTTGGTCTCCCACGAATGCCATGACTTTTTAGTGTCTCCTCCGCTTAACCCTTTGTTGCAGCACCCAATCGCCATCAGTCTGACATTTGACCCTCCCCGTCTCCTCCGGCAGCTGATGGCCACGCCGGCCGTCATCAGCAGCTCGACGTTCTGCGAGGTGACCAAGATGCTGCGCGTGCTGTGCAGCTACTGTCCCGACATCGCCGTCCAGCTGCTCTCGGAGAACATCGCCGAAACGCTCTGCTATCTGCTGGTCGGCAACCGCGAGCAGGTGGGTAGGAAGGAGAGGGAGTGGGGAGAGGGAGGACGAGGGAGGCAGCGGGCTGGGGGAGGGACTGGGGACAGGCGAGCTTCGAAATAGAGAGAGGACTGAACTGGGGACAGCAGAGCTTTGAGGGAAGGAGGAACAGGGCGAGGCAGAGCCTGGCGGAATGGAAGAGCCGGGACCTTCCTAGTCTGAGAATAGTTGAGTGGAGTGGGCTACAGAATAGTTGAGTGGAAGCCGGAACCTTACGTACTTCACCGCAGTGGTCATATCGACTGCTATTGTCAGTTTCGAGAACACGAGGAACGACTGAAACCTGGAGCGTCATTGTTTTTCGGAGAGTGGGCCGACGTAGAACGAGACGAGGTTCCGGTGGCTGGCCGCTGAGGAGCGCTCGGTTCGTGGGAATCGGCGGCGGGTGTAGAGCCAGAATGAGTTAACGTTCATCGAAAACAGACCGGGACGGAACTGATGATAACAAGGAACTGAGATGCTCGAGCAGCTGGTATTGTGAATGCTGGGCACCTACCAGTCAGCATCTTTCCGATTCTCTCAGAATCATCGGGTATCGTTACTGTTTCGTGTGCCGGTACATGTTTTTGATACATGTGTTTGTTTGATGTGAACTTTGCGTTCAATTCGAACCGCATTTGAAACCGGCCGCTGCTCTACGCCAATCTTGCGCGGCTATATTTGCAGTCTCGACGCTGTGCGTTTATATCGACGATCTCGTGCAAGTGACGCCCTTGACTGTCGCCGTCCGCACCTGGCCTGCTGACTGGGCACATAAAGCGGCGCGGCCGGCGCAGTTCCGCCACCGCCGGCCACAGCTAACCTTGGCCCTCAGCGCGCACTGAGTGCACTGCAGCTGTCAGCGCGTGTCGCCCTGTTGCCGCCGCCGACGTCCCGGTAACGCCCGCTGTTTGGTAATCGCGCCGCCGTACTGGGGCGACAAATTGCCTCCTTTGAGTCGGCGACCAGCGGGCTGTGTGGCACTGCTGGCAGCGGGCCGCAGCGGGCCGAGTGCGATCGTTACTGGCGAGTACGGACGGACGGACGAACGGACCGGACGGACAGGCGGACGGACGGGACGGACGAAAGGAACAAGGGACGGACGGACTCACAGGATGGAGTAAATGGCGGACCGAATTGGAATTGAGGGAATGGGAAAGGGCTGTCAGCTGCATCAACGTTACGTAAGCTACTGTTGACAGCAGTTCTTCATAAAGCCAGTCACTTGATGAGTTTTGGCTCTAACTGCGTTTACATCTCTTGCGGCGTTTGGAATACGGGCAGTCACCTTTCGAGGGCTGGGACTCTCTGGTGAAAAAGTTGTTTTAAAAGTTAGACGGATGTAGCCTTCGTTGCGTCTTTACTGGCACGTCCTTGAGCAGTGGTATCAAGCTGCCTACTGTCGCCACTGCTCGACTGACGGTGTCCCGTGCGCAGTGACCTGTGTCCGCCGTTTGCCCTGACACACCTATCGATACGGTGTCACCTGTCAGCGCTCTGGCCCGCCGCCGTGCGCGGCACATCCTGATTGGCTCCGCCTCCGCCCGGGGTCCGACAGTCTCCGGCTGTCGGACCGCTCCAGCGCCAGAAAAACGGAATGAGAATCGACCCGGCCTAGAGAGCGGCGGCCTCCGGGTGGTAGACGGGCCAGGCTGAGCGCTCCCGCGGCTAGCGAGGAGCTACGGTTGACGCTGCTCGTCCGTGTTGATGGCAGACCCAGTCACGGCCTTGGCAGGACGTAGCGGCCATTGCACCAGCATACGTGCTTTGCTGACGTGCACTAGCAGAGAGGAGGATGGCATACAGTCGGGGACTCGGGGTTACGGGTACCGACCGAATCGAATCCGTCCACAGAATGTGGACGTCCGCTGCACTGTAGACTGTGGATGTCTGAATCCGTATTGAGAATCTGTCCACGCTGGCAGTGTGGATGTCCGATTCCGTCCACAAAATGTGGTGGTGGTATGTAGTGTGGACTGTGGATGTCCAAATCCGTTCACAGATTGGGGCGGCGGCCCTGTGGATGTTCGAATACGTCCACAGAACGGGTCAGCGGCACTGTGGCTTGTGGATGTCGAATATCTTCACAGAACGTGTCGTTGGTTGTGGACTGTGGATCTCCGAATCCGTTCACAGAACAGGGCGGTGGCGCTGTGGACGGGGACGGTCGATGGGTCGACACGGCGATAAGCGAAGGTCAATAGATGGACGGAGGGGAGGGCTGGGACTGGGGCGGATGTTTGCGGTTCGACCGGTCGGGACAGACGGTGGCGGCTCCAGGAAACTAGCGGAAATGGAAGCCGTCCCTCTGACGGCCCTTATGTCGGTGTCTAGTTACTGCTTGGTTTGTGAGCGTGTCGGTATGTAAAACGTCTGAGGTCGAAACGGATGCCTGGTATTTCGCATATTTTCGCTGCATTTGATTCATTTTTCTTTGTTCGCTGATATTGCAACAGCGATCAAATCGCAAGGACGGCGACGGTATAGCAACAAACAACAACGGCGGCACTGCAAACCACTTGTGGCTGCTTCTCCAGCGTTTCTCGCATTGTTTTTCATCTAGCTACTTCAGGTGGCTCCTTGGCCTTTATTGCACCACCCGTCCCCCTGCTAGCCGGTGTTTGCCGTAGCTGCCACCACCCGGCCGCCCAGCCGGCTGTGGTATCTCTATTTATCAGCGCGCGTCCCAATCGATGTCGCGTGCCCGACGGTCCGCCCTCCCTCCGGCCCGGCCGCCGCTCCGTGGACCCGCTTCACTAGCTCAGTGACGTCAGTCCGGCAATCGATAGCTGCCGCCCGCCCGCTGGGCTACTCCGCAGCACCGCGTGCCGTGGTGGGTGACGTCACAGAGACGTGGGTGTGACGTCATCACCGTGGCGCGGTTGGCCAATGGCCATGAGGCCGTGCAGAGTAGGAGGTCGACCCGCAGCGGGATGCTCTCTAATGCTGATGGGGTGAATGGATGGCGTCATGGGCTCGGCTCGACCTTGTGTTGCAGCTTAGTACGTAGATGTGACGTCATAGAAGTATGACGTCGAACGTGCAGGAGAGATGCATTTGATTTGGGGACTCTTTGTCTGGTTCGTTGTTATTCACAGCTACTCGAACTCTGTGAGGCACGGCGGCTTTGTGGGGTGTAAAACCTGCGGCTTTGACAAATGTATGCGACGTCGGTCTCGGTTCTGAGTGTCGTCACAACGTTTGTGATTGACCTGTTTTTTCTCTGCTCAGATGGAGCTGAATTCGTAGAACTGGAGGAGCTGTACGCCGTGATTTGTCTGTTTTTAGTATGTTTGTCAGTTTGTCACATATGTTGATCTCTCTGATTGCTGACAGATGGAGCTGGTTTGTTTGTTTGCTAGATTTTATTATTTGTCATTACAGATATTGTAGTAGGCACAAGTCTGGTATCCCGCAACGCAGAGGAAGCGTACGCGCTGATGTGTTTGTATGTTTGTCATAGCACATCGTATGTTTGTGATGTCTTTGTCATAGTTTGTCACATCTGTTTGTCTCTCTGACAGATGGAGCTGGTCTCCCGGAACCCGGAGGAAGCGTACACGCTTATGTATCTGCATGTTTGTCTCTATGTTGGTCACATCTGTTTGTCTCTCTGTTCAGATGGAGCTGGTCTCCCGCAACCCTGAGGAGCTGTACGCTCTGATGTGTCTGGTCGGAGACCTGCTGCCCGCCCTGCCCACGGACGGACTCTTCAGCGTCGACCAGTGGCTCTTCAGGATATACCCGCGGGTAAGTGACCAGAGTGATAGCGTATCGCCGTATGATCACGGTTAAACGTAGGCAGGGGCGAGGTGTACCCGTTATAGTTACTCATGGCCGCTCCCTACGTACAATCGCCACAAGGCATTGTATCCAATAGTCCACACTGTCAACTACCTAAGCTCCGCTTTTCTAAAACAGGTGTTCAGCCAACCCCTGGTGATGACACATGCGGGCATAAAGAAGCGTTTAAATGCACTTCATGTGTACTCGTTAAATAATAAATCGCCGGTGGACTCCGGTGAAAGGAGAAAGACAAAGTGTCAGTTCTGCATAGTTGATAGTACAACAAATACCAGTATAACGTTTTACGTGTGACGCACTTTGGACTTTTCCTCGCATTGTAGCGGACTTCAAATATTCGCCGCTGCCGCCGCACGGTATGGGAACGGTGGTAGCGGTGGGTAGGATGGTGCTATGTGGATGTAGCTGCCGGTAGACTGGCGCGGTACGGCTGTAGCCGCAGGTGGTTAGGTGCGGGAACAGTTGCTGTTTCAGGCAGCTAGGTGCCTCACCGCGGTAGGTGTGGTGCGCCAGGTGGTAGCGGCCGTGTCACTGAACACTCGCTATTGATGAATCGCCCTGGTGTTTGGCGGTCGAATTATCGCCACCGCCGCAGCTGTCTGCCTTTGATGCCGATGCGTCGACTGTTGAGTGATGAGTGTACCGTACTGAACACACCCTGTGAAGGATTTAGGTCCCTTTGATAACTTGGATTCCCTCGGTAATATCCTTACACGTGCTGGTGTTACCAGGCGACAAAGAGTGCCGTGCTAGTTTGCCAATTAAATGTGGTTGGTGGGCTAGTTTCATCGTTATTGTGCCGTGTCGCATTGGTTAGTCACGTTTTACTATGATTTGGTGGTTATGTCCCTTGGTGTAAGTTGTGGAACTTTCTGCTGAGACTCAATAATACTGTGTTCCTGGTTGGCTGTTTGTAATTCGTCCTGCTCCTACTGGGTTGTTTGGTGTCCCTGTGTGTCTGGTGTGGGGCATTATTTTCGTACTCGGTGATACATACTGCCTTGCCCGCTGCTCTGCCCAGGATAATACCGCCTTCTGACTCACCCTTCCCTGTCCTCCCCAGGAGTATGTGCAGTGGCAGTGGCGTGATGATCGTAACAACTGGCACAACTACTCACACGCCGACAGCTTCACGGTCGAGGTAAGTAGCTCTGTGGGTGTGAGTTTTACCCGGCGGGTGTTTTCTGTGTCTCGGGACGTTGGATTACCGGCGGAGTTGAGATGCACTTGGCGCCAGTTGTTATTTTGAGTTATGGTCCACAACTGAAACTAATGTATCCATAACTTGTGCATTTATTGGTTTCTTTATTTTGTTGTCGCCACGTGTCTCTGTGTTGCGATGTAGATCGTTGGAGTTTTTATGGCGATGTGAATATGAACTCGTTTATTACAGTTGACACCTCATTTTTCAAATGAACTCTCGATTTCGGCGTCGGATCATGTCAATTTGTGTCTGCCATTCGAGCGATCACGGTCGAATGGCTCACATTGATTGATTGAATGACTGGTGGCGTCGAAAAATTCAGAGCCGTGGCAATTGTAATTCGTTTTCATCTCACAAAATATCGAAGCGGCCTCCCGACTGTTGCTGTGACGTCCTCAGACAGCGAGCCAGCCTCAGTTGACCTCGTGACACTTGCTGTTACCAGCTCAGCCCCAGACGTTGAACCACCTCCAAACGTCTGCTACTCACCGTTGCTAACTCCTCCCCTTCTCCAGACGGCGAACCAGGCCGGCGACGACGAAGTGCAGCTGGACTTCATGGGCCGCCACTACACCATCGACTTCAACACCATGCGCCAGATCAACGAGGGCACAGGCACATCGCGGCCCATCCAGCGGCGCACGGTGACGGGTCCGGCGGCCGGCGCCGGCGCCCCGGGCACGCCCGCTCCGGCGCCCCCGCCCGGCGCCGACCCAAGGCTCACGGCACTGCAGGGCAACCGACCGCTGTTTGCTGGCCTGGTGGGCACCCTGTTCTCGATCCTCTACAAGGTGTACAGCTCGTGCGCCGGCCCGGCTGTGCGCCATATGTGTCTGCGCGCCATCCTGAGGATGGTCTACTTCGCCAGCCCTGATATGCTAAAGGTGTGTGACGACGGCCGAGGGACGAGGGATGGAGGCTGGGAGGAGGACGGGGTGGTCGGCATCTTTCGCTTGGACAAAAGACACTTATATTTCTGTCGAATATGGTTTAGCCTTACAGTTTCAGATAGTGAATGTGTTTGAGTATTTGTTTCACTTTTCGAAGGTTAGGTAGTGTATTTATCACTACCGAGAAACGATAGCGGGTCGGCCGCCCCGGTGCCATGCTACTGCTGCACCATTAAGCCGGGGACCTTTGGAGTTGGAGCGCTCGTTTTCCGTAATATCCCGCCGTGAATAATTTCCTGGCCGGCAATTCCCACAATCACGCGACCTCGTCGGCGTAGATTCGCACTCCAAATGACCATCGCCACGGTCATCATTATTACGATTCGCGACCAGCGTGATCTCTGTACCTGAGAAACTATATGTTTATTTATTATTAGACATTATGTCTGCATTCTTTTCTTTTTTTCGCGTAGGTAGTTTCCCGGTACCAGTCTCCTCCTTGCTTAGGGCATTGCCCTTTGTTTTCTCACTTGGTAACAGCCTGACTGCTATGCTCGGTATTAAGCTTTTAGGGTATTTTGTTATATGTTTCTGTTTTTTTTTTTCTTTCCCTACAACTATAACTGTTCTTGTAGTTACCTCGTCGCCTCCTCGGCCACAGTCTAACCACCCTGACATTGTCCCTCTTCAGGACCTGGTGGGCATTCAGGAGGTGTCCTCCCACCTCACCGGTATGCTCTCCTCCGGAGACCTGAAGATCGTCGTGGCCGCTCTCCAGCTGGCAGAGGTGCTCATCCAGAAACTGCCCGAGCAGTGCAGCGTCCATTTCAGACGAGAAGGTACAGACAGCGCGAGGCGAGGTGGCTACCGCTTAGGGGTTTGAGGAACTGAGTAGCGAGATTTTGGTTCAGCTACAAATAGTTGGCAAACCGCTTTGGCCGTGTTTTTCGCTAATTTTTGGGGAATTGGATCCATTTTAATCGTCATTGGCGAGTAAAATATGTATCCGACTGTTTCCTCCAGTTTTGAGTATGAACATTGAGCAGTGATCCCCACGATTTGACACCCAAGCCTCAGCACGGTCTACCCATTACCCAAGTGTGGTGTTCAAGCCTCAGTAGGAATCCTTATTGTGATCAGCAACTAACGTGACGCCTCTCTCTTGCCCCATCCAGGTGTGGTGTACCAGATTAACCAGCTGGCTGCCGATCCGACGGCGCCCGCCCCGTCCCCTGTGGCCGGCGGCGCGGCCGGCGCGGCGGGCAGCAGCGGCGGCAGCGGCGGCGGCACGGAGCTGTGTGCCGCCGGACCCAGCAGCGCCTCCCTGCCCGCCTACCTGGAGACGCCGCCGCCGCCGGCCGCCGGGTCTGCGGCCGGTGACGAGGGGACCAACCTGTGAGTGTAAAGGGGACCGGGGTGACCAGTACTTCATAGGGGAACCAGGATAACTACAGGGGAACCAGTGCTAGAGTGCGCTAGTACTGTTTCAGAACAGCAGCTCAGCCTCTCGACGGGGTACGAATTACCATAGTTTGGGTATTCTGGACGACCCATTGAGACCCTGCTCTCATTCATATATGGGTCGATGTATCTGGGCTGTCTAAAAACAGCCTGCGACTGCAGAGCTCTCTTCAGAGTGCATCATCGAATCTGGCTCAGTAATTCAAGCGCCGCTGTGAGAGCGCCGAGGTTCGGCGGATCTGGGTTAACACCATTAGTCAACGCGCCACGGGCGGGACGGACAAACACTGCGGCCCTAATTGTCGGCGAGTCCGGGGCGGGCGAATGCTCGCCGGCGGCAGACTGGGGCGGTATGAGGCGCGCCCGCCGGGGATATTGCTGCGTGCCCGTCATCGGCAGCCGGCGCTCCTCGATGACAGCTCTGACGTAGCTGTGCGCCGCTCGCTAACTGCGACAGAGCCTGTCAGCGCCGCCGGCGGTTGTAGCTGCTGGGATGGGAGTGGTCTGAACCTCAGCTGTATGCTGATTCTGGTTATATTCAGACACCAGGGGGTCCCCCACTGCTGGGTCGGGGTTGGTTCCAATGGACTTCTTTGAGAGGTGCGTGGGACGCGTTCCGTACGGGACTTTCCCGCGGATGCTGTGAGCATTAGACATCACTTCAGTGAATGGTGTAGGTCGTCTTCGAGAGTGTCCCATTTACTATTCTATTCCCCACCCTATAACGTCAACAACCTGTCTGGTTGATTTTCCTCCCCACAGCAGAAATGTACGCATTTCACCTCATGCTCTCATCTAGCAGACCTTATGTTCTCATCTAGCTCTCATCTCACTTGTATAAAAGCGCGGAGGGATCCACATACCATACCGCGCCACTCACCACCAATTACTGACATCCGCTTTCCCTGCCCCCGTCAGCAGCCTCAGCGACGTGCTGAAGCGTAAGCGGACCTCGAAGCGGCCCGGAAACGCGTCACGCAAGTCGCGGCAGGAGGAGGCGTCACAGTCGGCATCACCGAGTATGGCCAGCTCGGCCATGGAGTCGCTCTCCAGAGGTTAGTGTAGCGCGCTGGCGTTAATAGGGGTCAGTTTTTTGTGACGGTGTTGTTTCTTTTTTTCAGTTGGGTGGTGGGTAAAGACTAGGGGACAGAACGCGTTTTACCTGTGCTGGCTTGGGTGTGCATGCGTACGTGTATCGGTCCCTACCCTCAGAGCCGTCGTTATTCTCCTGTGTGCGTGTGTGTTGGTGAGTTTGTGGTCCAGCTTTTGAGGCTCAGCGTGCTAGTTCTGCTTGTGTTTAGTGTATTTTGTTTCCCCGACACTGTTTTCCCCGTCCTCTGACGCCTTGATGACTTTCAATGTCTTTTCCAACTCCTGTGAGACCTGTTATTTCGTCAACACCTCCTCACTGAAGTTGACGCGTCGAAACTCTGCCTCAAAGTTTTGCTCGCCCCCCGTCGCAACTGCTTCGCGCTGCGCCGTCAGTGTTCGGTCAGAGTTTGTTTCTGTATGTGCTGACAAAGTTCCCGGCTTCTCCATTTTTTTTTTTCTCGACTGCACTTAGTTCCCATTGTGTGTCGATAATGGAAGATTATGGAAGACCGAGCCACTCGGCCGTCGATGACGAGGTGATGCGCGCGAAATGCCATTGCATTTTTATGTGAAATGAGATTTGTGATGTAGTAGCAAGCGTTAAGCAGCCAATGGGCTGGTCCCTGCTTATCGAGAAAGTACAGTGGGCGTTAGTTATAGGTGAAATTTATCCGAATAAGCCACGCTTCCGTCTTAACTCTGATAAGTATAAAGTGGCAACACCTGAATATTTCGTGTCAGGAGTGACGGGACTGGTCAGGAGCTAACTATTCCTAACAAGCTAAAGGGGACATGCTGTGCTACGGTCCTGTCTACTCTCTTAGTCGCACAACACACCAATAGCCACGTGTGGCATGGCAGCGGGGAGCCACGTGGCATTTCGCCGAGTGTTCTGTGCGGCGCCATCATGTGTTATACATCGCGGCCGTCCTACGCCGCAGCAGAAGGCTGCCGATTCAGTCGATACTGGTTGCCAAGGAGGCCGTCGGTCGGCCGGAAGGTTAGAAGGTCGGACGGTGCAGGTGCTATTGCGTGGCAGGAGTGGAGCTGTGAGCTCAGGGGTTTCACAGCTTGGGGAAGCTTTGAGAAGATAAATCCGAGTTTGGGCTTAGATAATTGAGAATGTTAGCTGGGGACATTGTTTAAATTAGCCATCAGATATTGAGGTATTTAATCGTGGGACGTGGGCCGATGAGCAAGATGCCAGCACGCTCTTGCCATTCCATTGATGCTGCTGAAAGGATTCCTCTCCCTCCCACGCACACTAGTAAACTTATAATGCTGGCCTGAATCGGTCAGCTGGTGCACTCTGCCGGGGGTAGCAGAAGTACCGTCCGAGCCATGTTTAGACGTTCGGAAATCGAAGCCGCGCCATTGGGAGCTCTGCCGGCTCTGCTGGCGTGGGGGGTGGCTGTCGGGGGCTGCCCCTGCCATCCTGGGGAGCTGCCTCCAGCGACACTGATTGGCTGGCGCTGATTGGAGCCGCCCTCGCCCCGCCCCCGCCCCCGCCCCCGGGGCAGTCAGTCAATCAGTCAGTCAGTCAGTCCGGTCCATAGGCGATCGACCCCGACCGCCAGCGCATGCCAAACGAGGTGATTTGGAGGCGCAGGGGATCGACAGTCCACACGCACGGTCAGATGGGACGATAGTTGGACCATGGGACGATGGAGTGAGAGCAGAGCTGTTAGGGCGGATAGGAACTGCGGACGATGGTGAAGGCAGGAGAGCAATGTTGCGAGGTGGATTTAGCGTGTGCCGGCTGTTGGAACTACGGATTTAGTGACCTAAACACCTGGCCACATGTTTGGGTATTCGTTTCGAAGATAGCCAGCTTGGCTCCATAGTTTTTGGGTCTGACTCTGTCTGACTCTCCCCCGTTCTCTGTCCCCTGTTCCAGCTGCGGGTACCAGTCGCGGCAGTGTGGCCGGCAGCTCGGCCGGTGCCGCCGGCGGCTCGGCCGCGCGCGGTAAGGCGGCCGGCGGCTGCGCGGGCGGCAGCCGCTTCCAGACCTCGTCGTTCCTGGCCAGCCTGAACCCGGCCCGCTGGGGACGCAGCGTGTCCAACTCACCTCTCGGCGACCGGGGACTCAACAAGGTGAGCCACGGCGGGAGGGAGAGACGGAGGTGGGATGGAGGGAGTATGTGAACCCGATATGAGCGGTTTTGTGTTCAGGCCGGTGCTGCTGTTGTGTTGATTCACTGAGTCAAAAGCAGGACCCGCTAAGTCCTGATGTAATCATTTCAGGGCGATAGTTTGCTGATGGGGTCATGTGGTTTTACATGGCTCTCATGTGTTGGTAGACACCTTTTTTTGTCTACTAGTTGTGCACACTGTAGAACCCTTGTGCAGTGTGTATGAACGCAAAGTACAATGTTTGTGATCTTTTTGTGGCCATAACCTCCTACATCTCCTCCGTGGCTGACTGGCTCAGATTCTGCCACAGCCCTCTCACCACCCCTTCCCTCCTCTCCCCCAGGACGGCCTGCTGAACCGCGCCTCGAGCAGCCCCAGTCTGTCGGGCAGCAAGGAGCGCGTGCGCGGCTGGATCCGCGAGCGCGCTCAGCAGTTTATCGCGCGCCACTTCTCGGGCGACACGTCCGGTCACACGGCGCTGATGTCTCGTCTGGGCGGCGCGCTGAGCCGACTCCGACAGCCGCCGGCGGCCTCCGCCGAGTCGGCACTGGCCGAGATCGGCGCCGTGCTCCGCCACTCGGATATCTCACCGTTCGAGGTGCTGCAGAGCGGCCTGGTGCAGCAGCTCACCGCCTTCCTGACGGACGGCGAGGGCGCTGAGCGCGAGCGCCGCCTGCGCCTGTTCCTGCACGTGCTGGCCGGCTGTCCGCGCGCGCCCGAGGAGCTGGTGGAGCCGTTCCTGGCCACCTCCGAGCTGACGGCGCCGCTGCAGGCGCTGGTGGCCAAGCTGAACGCCTGCGTCACTCAGGTGGAGCAGCTGGTTGTGAAAGTGCATGACGTTTCGGAGACGGCCGGCGGCCCGTCCGGCCAGAGCGCGCTCAAGTATTTCAACCAGAACCAGCTCAAGGTGGGTCGATAGGACCGTGAGATGAACCCAGGGGCTGATTGGGAGGGAGGGACGGATAGTCTCTCTTGAAAGTATCGCTATCGCTCGCTGAATTGAGAGGCTTTGGAGGGCTGGACGCCTGGCCGGTCCGTACCGTTTTCACGGTTTAACGGTCCGGCCAGGCGGTTAACCCTCAAGAGCGGGGGACTCTCAAACCAGGAGCGATAGTGATACTTTTCGAGTAACGACACTTACAAGAAAACCCGTTCAGGACCAGAGTGTCAGATAGAGCACAGGCTGTTAGGGAGAAGGTATCACGTGCTTGTGCACACATTACAAAGGTACCCGTTGTGCCTCTTATTGATGAAAAGACTTAAAAAGGCTTTTAGTGGGTTAGGTGTCGTGACTTCAGCAGTAGCGCCGGCCTCTTGGGTCATGCTTCTGTGCCGCGTGGCGTGAGTCGCAGTTACCTTGTCAGGCTGGTCCAGAGCACCGGGAATCCGCTAGCTTATGGGGACTGTTGTAACTAAGCACGCAATGTAGCGGCATAGGACGTCAGCATAGCCAATGCAATTAGTATCATACCGCCTGACTGGTTATACGCGATGGGTTCAGTGGCTCGCGCCAGGTAAACCACGAGCGATTGTAACCAGTAGATGTGACCTGTAAGCACACACGGAGCGACCATGGAGCGACGGCTGAAGACGTCTCGTTCATGTGGTGTCGCTCGTCGTGTCTTTCAACACTCAGACGTCGTTTTCACCATAGCCTTTTCTAACGCGCGTTCCTACCGTTTCAGTGTAATCTACAGCGTCAGCCGGACTGCACAAGTCTGCGCCAGTGGCGCGGCGGGCCCGTCAAAATCGACCCGCTGGCCCTCGTACAGGCCATAGAGCGCTACCTGGTGATCCGCGGCTACGGCCGGATCCGCGACGATGACGACGACGGCTCCGACGACGGCGACTCGGACGACGATATCGACGATACGCTGGTGCGTCACGGGGAACTGGATAGCTGGATAGCTGGGTGGCACTGGTGGCAGGTAGTTTTATTGTGGCTGGAAAGGTGTGGCGAGGTAGATTAGAAGTCTTGATGGGCGTGATTGACGTGTTAAGTGTTATGGTAAGTCCGGGTGGGGTCTCGTGGGTGTTTGCTGTGTAGGGAGGAGGCTGGGCTGTCACGGGGAGCCCGGGCGAGCGGAGGTGTGTGATGAGCCTCTCTCGGGTGTCCGATCCGTCTTCATCAGCCGCCGTCGGGCCACTGGCCGCCGGCCGGTTTTATTTCGTTTGATACACCACCGCCGTTTGTGGTGGACCGCGACCTCAGAGACCAAGGAGGTGGTATTGATTGTCAAACGAGGATGGACTGTCGACGCCACAAGCTAATTCCTTGTTGCAGCCACTGACTGTGTGTGGTATTTTATTCCGGAACGGTTAATAGACGCAACAGATAACTGGCCATTAACTGATGTTATTATGATATAGCTTACGTTCTAATGTCTGCACGAATCATTTTAGACTGCGAACTTGATAATTCAGCTAGGATTGTGAACTAGGTAATTATTCCCGCTTGACGTGGTAGAACCCGATAATTCCCCTCGTTCTGAGAAGTCTGTAATGTTCTCATTTGGAGCAGCTCGTTACGATTACCCTGCGTAAACAGCAAGCAAGCAGCTCATTTCTCGAGGGTTAAACGCCAAACATCAATCTTACAGTAATTAACAACAAGGAGGCTTATACCACCACTCCCGCTGACTTAGCAGGGCGACTCAAACTGGGCAAATATGTTCACCGGCTGTGTGCGTAATTAATATGCTGTTGTTTCATCGCAGTTCGACGCTAACTTGTGTGTGTCGGACGCTAACTTGTGTAAGTTCTGTGCGTCAGTTCTGCGCTTACCTGCGGTGCTCTCTTTTCGGTTCGATGCTGACGTGTCCTGTAAGTTCAATGCTGACCCCTACTCTGTCGTTCTACGCTGACCCGCGCTCTGTCTGTTCTATTCTGGCCAGTGCTCCATCGGTTCTATGCTATTGCTGACCCGTGCTCTCCTTTATCGACAGGCGGCAGTGAGCATCAGCCAGGGCAACAACCACAAGCTGCAGTTCGTCATCAACGACCACGTGCTGCCGTACAACATGACCGTGTTCCAGGCGATCCAGCAGTTCAGCCAGGACACGACTGACTCGGACTCCGAGCTGACGGTCGGCTCGACGCACCTCTTCCAGCGCACGCACACCATCTACTACCGGTGAGCGGTGGTGTGGTTTGAAGCTTGGGTTTGCTTTTGCTTACTTGTTTTGGTCCCTTTGACGACTCTCCACTAGTCAGTCTAGTCAGTAGTCCACTAGTATCCACAAGTTGTGGTGCACACATAGGCAGCATCGACCAAATTGCTGCTTCAGGAGCCGGAACTGTGACGAGCATAATTATATAGCAAAGCTCAGCTGTTGACAGAGCTGCCTTACATGCAAAGATAAATTTGGTTATTGATAGTGTAGTGTTCTAGGGCAAATATCCCGACCTCAGTACGCTTGGCAAAGGAGACGAGATATTGCAGTCGGTTGCAATGTCAAAAGGTCAGAACTCGAGTATCTATACCAGAGTGAAGTAGCGATGCCGGCAAATGGTCCATTACAGGCACAGGCTGGTGCCCATTAAGACCGGACGCGCGCGTCATTGGAGCTCGACCGGATCCTGTGCGGAGTATGGATGGCCGTGACCTGACCGGCGCGGAATCGGTTATACGCTGCGCTAGGAACGGCCATTGTACGACCGTCGCCCGGCTGAGCCTGGTGGCGCCTTATGCGGCTTTGGGGGTACCAATGTCATGTCCATTGTGCGTATATAAGGAAGAGCGAGAGGCAGAGGGGAGAGATGGGTTGGTTCGGGAGGTTTCAGGGGGCTCTATTGAGCTGCGTCGCCGAGCAACTGTACATCCGGCTCGGTGTCATTAAAAAGGTGCACCACGTTGAAACGTTAGATACCATATGGCGGACCGAAATAGATAGTAATTGCGACCGGCGGCGTTTTTTACGGATTTCCTCGCCCGGCGTTGGTGGAGGAAAAGTCCGGGGCTGAGAAATAAATTACTCCGCTGCAGCGAGTATATGTAGGCACTGGATAGGACTGACATGATATACCTACTGCTCTGCGGGCTGGTCCCTGGCTGCGGCTGGTGGGTCGCCGCCCGGCTCTGGGTGGAATGAGTGATTACTCGGTCGAACTCTGCCGAATGAGTAATGGTGCGCTCGGACTCTGTCGGAAGGAGTGATGGCTCGGGCGCAGTCTGTGCAATAAGAGATAGCAGTTCTAAAATGGTCTGCAGTGAAGCGCACGGAATACACGGAATGACAACCCCCCACGACAGATGAAATTGTTCCGTAAAGTGAGCTCAATCTTCAGCGTGGTATCACTGTATGTTTTAACTCGTACTTCGTGCTATGATAAGACAGCCAGATAAATGAGCGAAGTGATGTACATCACCAATGAATTTGCGCTGAATGCCTATCGCTCGATCCAAGCGCTGTTGGTATTGTGCATTGACATGTTTGTGTATTTTGAGTGAAAGTTCTTTCAAGAATGGTCTTAAAGGGACCCTCCCACCTTAACATTAGATTTGAGTTGAGATAGCCAAAATGGGGTCCCTGGCTCACAATTACCGGTTTCGGCACTCACAACATCGAGAAATGCCTTAAATCGGAAATATTGAATTTCAACATTGCTCCGTTTTGATTCAGAGGGGCTAATGCTTTTGAATACCCCTCTGAATGTGTGACGTCAGCGGAGATCTAACGATTTTTAAATCTTTTACTAAAACGTTTGGTAGCACGCGGTGGTATATGCTGCTTTGCGCGCAACATATGCCGCACCTTCAAATAAAGTCGCTAGGAACAGCGGAGATCCCAAAAAGTAAACAAAAGTAAAAGTCTAATATCTTGAAAACCGGTGAATATTTTTCGATAAAATTTGGTAGATATTCGTTTTCGCTCTTTCTGAACCTAGCGACATCACTTTCATGCCAATTCATTAACTTTTTTGAAGGTGGGAGCCGGGAGGGTCCCTTTAAGTAAGAGTGAGTGAGTGAGTGAGTGAGTGTGAGTAAGTAAGAGTGAGTGTGAACATATTCATTTCGTGGAGCGGTCATCCTTGCTTGCGTTCTCGCTCTAATCTGCCAGTCTTGCCCCGCTCTAACAACCCTGTCTGCCCGTTCTAACCTCCCCGTTCTGACCTCGTTTCTCCGTTCTAACTCCCAATATCCATCCTACCTCCCCTGTCTGACCTTTGTGTCTTCCCGCTTTAACCTCCCGTCTGTCCCGTTCTGACTCCTCGTCTCCCCGTTCTAACCTCCCCGTCCTCCCGTTGCAGTCCGGCGCCGGAGGAGAGCTCGCAGTCGGCGGCCCGCGGCGGCGGCTCGCACGCCAAAAAGGGCAGCAAGAGCGGCGCCAGTAAACACGGCGGGAAGCGGCGCGACGAGCTGTGGACGGAGGGTGTGGCGCCCGAACCGGCCTGTCCCCTGCTGCCCTACCTGACGGCGCGGCTGCCCGAGCACGTGACCGTCTCAGATCCGTGTCTGGAGACGCTGCATCTGCTACGGCTGCTGCACGCGCTCAGCAGACACTACGGGAGCCTTTACCAGATGAGCAACTCGGCGCCGCTCATCGCTCAGTCGGTGAGTGAACGCGAGGAGTATGTGTGTGGGGGGGGGGGGGTCACTGACACATGGAGCGTATTGGGGGAGGGGAGGGTTCACTGACCTGTGGACAGTGTGGGATGGTTTGGGTCGTGGTGGTTTCCCATTGGAGATTGGAAATCTGTGCGAGTATACGTCGAGTAGCTCCGTGACCAGTTTGGAGCTGTCGGCCACAAATCATCCGGTCTTAGTCGGTGATGGCTCCCCGTCGACCGTAACGGACTCGGTAAGCCCCAGTGGATCAACTGAAATGGCCGCCGGCCGCTGGACGGATCGCCCGCCGGCGCGCGGCCGCTGGTTACGAACCCCTGCCCGCTTACACACACTGACCGTGGGGTGTGTGTGGTCCAACAGGAGTTCATCAACAGCAAGGTGTCGGCGAAGGCGAACCGGCAACTGCAGGACCCTGTGATCGTCATGACGGGCAACACGCCGCAGTGGCTGCAGCAGATCGGTCTGGCCTGGTGAGAGTGGCGGGAGTGGGGAGAGAGACGGGTGGGAGGCAAGAAAACTGATGAGGACAGTAGGGTGGGTTTGGTGTGGGTTAGCATGATTATAGCTAGTGGTCGTTTTTCTTTCTGCTCTGTGGCCCTTTGGATATGGTGAGTAGGTGACCAAGTTATCATGCATGTAGCTCTTTTGGCGTGCATCATCTCTGTGACGTGTTCTATCTGCTATCTCATCACTGGTGTCATCATTATTCATCTGCCATTTGCCACCGTTCCGCGCCGCGCCGATCGCTGACCATCTACTCCGTTCGTGCCGGCAGTCCGTTCCTGTTCCCGTTCGATACGCGTCAGCTGCTGTTCTTCACGTCCACATTCGACCGTGACCGGGCGCTGCTGCGTCTGATCGAGAGCTCGCCAGAGCTGCAGGCCGCCGACTCCGAGGACCGCATCGCGCCCAAGCTGGAGCGTAAGAAGCGCACAGTGTCGCGAGATGACCTGGTGCGCCAGGCTGAGGCGCTGATGGCCGAATTGGCCGGCTCGCGGGCGTTGCTCGAAGTGCAGTATGAGAACGAGGTGGGCTCCGGCCTCGGACCGACGCTGGAGTTCTACTCGCAGGTCTCACGAGAACTGCAGGTGAGAAGCTGAAGAGGGGAGAGAGAGAGAGAGAGAGAGAGAGAGAGAGAGAGAGAGAGAGAGAGAGAGAGAGAGAGAGAGAGAGAGGGGGGGGGGAGTGGGTGGGTGTGGTGGCCGAGGGCCTATGAGGGATTTTCATGAGCGACACAGCCTGTTTTGTTGTTCTTAGATCGGAGAATAATGAATGTGACAAATCTAAGTGTCGCTAAAAGTCGGATGACGGCCGTTTTGGGCTACGAGTGCATCGCCGCTGTTTCCAAAGTGGAACAGTCGTCGGTGATTCAGTCATCGCCGTCCAAACGTGGCGCCGTACTATTTGTGCCGCCGCTGCCTCTGTGGTCCAACAGAGGTGGCTAAATCTGCCACCGGGAGCTGGCTGCCGTCTCTCCCGGGAGGGCAGGGAGGGGGGGGGGCGTGAGTCAGCGGCTCGGCGCCTGTCGCCAGGCCAGCCCCGCAGAGCGGTGCTTCCGTCGGCAGAGTTTGTCGCCGCCACTGAATGGCGCCCGACCGCTGATAGGTCGATTTGTGTACATTGGTAGGAAGTTTCAGAATGGGTGGGTTTCATAGGTCAGGATGGTTGCCAACCGGGCTGAGGTCACGACCTCAGAGTGATACTTCGAAATTAGATTGTGAGCCATTATGTTGCTAGGTCATCATTCAGCTATAATGTACCGTGCTCGAGTTAATAATCGTCTTGTTTGTCCGGCTCTCCGATGGAGGCCCCTGTCACAACAGACATTCTATCCCGGTACAGAGTCTGACTGCCAACTTTCGGTGTGTGGGCGTCCCCGCCGACTCGTCCCCCAAGACCCGAGTCCCGAACTCTCCGTCTCCCCGTGTTCGTGCCGTTGTCTTTCTCTATCTGGGTTAGCGGTCTCTTGTCTTTCTGAGACCTGCTTTCTCTACCTCCCTTGCGGGGACCCTCCGTCTCCCGGGGACCGGCCGGTGCGTGGCTGGCGGTTCCGTCTGCCGGACTTCCTGTACTCAACTGGAAATTTTGTCCTGGCCATATGACCTAACCAAATCCCTCTGCAACTTCTGTTGTTAACGTGTAACATAATATGATCCATGACCATGTGGGACCTCTCTGTGATCCTAGTGTGACCCTTGCCTTTGGATGGCAGGCAGACGGTGGCTGTGACCCCGTTTGACCCCGTGTGACCTCTATTTGACCCCTGCCCCCTTCCAGCGGGCGGACGCCGAGCTGTGACCCCTTCTGTGACCCTCGTGTGACTTCTACTTGACCCCTGCCCCCTTGCAGCGGGCGGACGCGGAGCTTTGGCGCGGAGACCGGTACCGGCCACCGGCCGAGATCGTCACCGACAAACTCGGGCCGTCGTCGTCCTCCGCGTCAGCCCCAGCCGACACAGCGGAGTACATCCACGCGCCGCTGGGACTCTACCCGGCGCCCGTGGCCAGGTCGAGCAAGTCGGGAACGGTGACACGGCTTAAGTCCAAGTACAAGTTCCTCGGTAGGTGCACAGACTGGCACAGAATTATCACTCAGGGTGCTGAAGGGTCGTAGGGCTGGTGGGTGACTGGTGGATGGGGAAGAGCTATAATGAATGGGTGGGAACATAGACCTGTGTGTACCGTATACTTAATTATGCAGATCTCTATGGTGGGGACTACTTTGGGTTATGTAGCTTACTTGGCGAGCTTGTGTGTGGCTTTTGTATGGTAAGTTTGAGGCTGAGTTATTTAGCACTGTACTTTTCTGTACAGAGGTTATGCTGTTGCTATGTTGTCGGAAAGGTCAGATGGCATTGAATGTGGCTGGAGCGGGGCCTTGTCGACCATTTTGGCTGCCACAGGCGGTGATATACTGGGCACTTGCGGAGACTCGCCGGGCTGCAATGGAGGCCAGCGGTCGCACTAGATTCGACGTGCGCAGAGAGTGTCCCTCTGTCATTCCCGCCCGCTGGTCGCTGCCCAGTGTCTCTATTCGTTAGTTGACCCTCCCGCTCTCCCGCAGGTAAGCTGATGGCCAAGGCGCTGACGGATTTCCGTCTGCTGGACCTGCCGCTGAGCGTGCCGTTCTACAAGTGGCTGCTGCGCCAGGAGCGCTCCATGACACTGCAGGACGTGCACCTGCTGGACCCGTCGCTGGCGGCCACGCTGTCGCAGCTGGCGGCCGTGGCGCGGCGGCGCCGACACCTGGAGGCCGACCAGACGCTGACGGCCGAGCAGCGCCGCGCCGCCATCGAGGCGCTCGGCGTGGACGGCTGCTCCGTGGAGGACCTGGGACTCGACTTCACGCTGCCCGGACACTCGAGCATCGAGCTGAAGCGGGGCGGCCGGGACGAGCCGCTGACCATCCACAACCTCGACCAGTACCTCAAGGTGGGATCCGCTGTCTGTTCCACTGTCTGTCCCACTGTCCCACCATCCACCTCGACCAGTACCTCAATGTGTCCCACTGTCTGTCCCTCAGTCCTGCTGTCTTACCATCCACAACCTGGACCAGTACCTCAAGGTGGGTCTTACTGTCCCACTGTCCGCCCAGCTGTATCTGTCCCACTGTCTGTCGTCCCATTGTCCCACTATCCACAACCTGGACCAGAACCTCAAGGTGGGTCCCGCTGTCTGTCCCACTGTCTGTCCCACAATCCCACTGCCTGTCCTACTGTCCCACCGTCCACAACCCGGACTAGTGCCTCCAGGTGCGGATCGTGCGGGGCCTTTGCTATCTCGATGGTTGGCATTGGCTGCTTTACAGTACTTTTGCTTTTGTGGCTATGTACATAGCTTTGTATCAGTGAGTCCATGTTGTATTCTAGTATAGTTTTTCACCGTCCAATATCATTGGTCATACGTTGCTGTCCTAACTCGATATGCTATTGTGCCTCTTGTGTCGTGCCGTCTGACCCCATCTTTCGCTTTATCCACAGCTGCTGACTCACTGGCTGCTCTATGAGAGCGTCTACCGGCAAATGGAGGCGTTCAGAGAGGGCTTCGAGTCGGTGTTCCCGCTAGAGAACCTGGGCATGTTCTTCCCTGAGGAGATTGACAGCCTGTTCTGCGGCAGCCAGGTCAGTGTTTCTGGGGAGACAGCTGCGGCAGGGGTCGGGTGCTGTAAGATACGCGGAATGGGCACCGATGACCACCGCAGTCCGGGCGCCCTAGACCCCCAAATTATTGTAAGATGCACATAATTGTGTGGGTATTTTGTATTTCATCGGGTGATAAATGTAGATATCGACAGGTACGATGTCGAGACCGCCCTCCGTATGTACCAAGTCAGTGTTAATGTAGCTGCAGGCGAAGGGGATAAGATTGCTGTCATTTCGGTAACGAAGCAGGCGTGGGTAGGGGAGAGTGGGGCAAAGCGGCCACCCTAACGCTTCTCACGATGCCAACGCTTGATTTTTAAACATGGAAAGATTCTTTCTATACCAATGTGATCCCTATTAAGTTGCCTTTCATTTCAACTGCGTTTTATTTCCAAAGGCGTTCACATATAAAAGATATCGACAAAACTTTAAACCTATGCATATTGGCCACTTTGCCCCATACCCTGGGGCAAAGCGGCCACCGGCGTCTTCTCAAGTCCCGATATGAGAAACAACATAGTTGCCTCATGTACGACTAGGGTATTTGATGGTGACAAGGTTTAAGCGAGGATGGATGTTTACGTTATTATCTTCCACCTGTAGGTAAACAAAGAAAGGATTTTCATGAAAAAACATTTAATTGCATTATTTGGTAACTCATGCAACTGAAAAGTGGCCAAGATGAATGCATGACGACACATTTGAATATAAATAATGTTTTTTATCCAGATGAAAACAACTTATGGCCAATAGGGGGGTGGCCACTTTGCCCCGGCCACTTTGCCCCGCGCATACCGTCCGAGACAAAAATATTCCAGCTTAGCTTTTAGTGGGGTAAAAAACATTAAAATTGGTAGAATGCATGTACGATAACCATGCAATGCATGGACAAGAACGCTTATAAAAAATTCCAAACGGTTATGGAATAACATAACATTTGAAAATTGTAAACATAGTTGGTAACATGGCAAGAAATGCTTTTCCGTGTTTCACAGAACAATGGTGATGGGCCTGAAACCCCGGTCTAGCTCATTCGAACGACCGTGAAGAGAAGTATAATTGGAAACCATAAATTGGATCTGACGCCAGCTACGAAGGGCTAAAACGATGGGTGGCCGCTTTGCCCCGGGTGGCCGCTTTGCCCCACTCTCCCCTACGAGAGTGGTGCGCTGCGGTGGCGGAAACACTGAGTTATGGTGTGTACATTGCTTATCGACCGTCCCTGGGCCTGCGGCACGCAGAGAGAGGGAGAGAGAGAGAGAGAGAGAGAGAGAGAGAGAGAGAGAGAGAGAGAGAGAGAGAGAGAGAGAGAGAGAGAGAGAGCCGTCAGTACTGCGTGCAGCTCTGCAGTGGCTGTGAGGACCAGTTTTTGCCCGACTCGGAGCAGTATATGGCTCTATTGATGCAGGTCGGGGAGCGAATCCCCCGGGAGACCGCGCTGGCGAAAACCCGGCCCCGCACAAAGGCATGGTAATGACTGGGCCCAGACCGGCTGATGGTTCATTCCTCACAGAGCTGAGCTGCCGGGGGGGGGGGCATAGGAGGGATAGGGGTGAAGTGAAGTCAGCTGCTGAGATAGTCGGCGTGACTCCAACTCCGCTCTCCCTCCTATCCGGGGCGGTACTAAGTGACCGTCGTCTCCCTTGTCTGAAATGTGTGACCCCTGTCTGATTCGTGTGACCGCTATCTAGACTCTGACATGTGCGAACTCTGTTTGACCTATCTGACCTGTGTCTGACCCGTCTGCCCCCAGGAGAGCTCGTGGGACGAGCGGACGCTAACCGAGGCGTTCAAGCCGGACCACGGCTACACACACGAGTCGCCGGCCATCAAGCGTCTGGTGCGCGTGCTGACAGAGTTCAGCGGCGAGCAGCGGCGTCAGTTCCTCAGCTTTGTCACCGGATCGCCGCGCCTGCCCGTCGGAGGTGAGAGCGACGGAGGAGAGAGAGAGGGGTGGAGGGGTGAGAGCAACGAGCGGGGTCGGAGAGGGGCTCGGTGGATGCCTGGGTTGGAGGGGCTACAACGTGTTCACTGCTCACTCTTCAGGAAGATGACTGGGTTTATCCGAAATCCGGTCTACATGTGCATGTTCTTTGTGTCTTCGTTTATCCCATTTGTCTTGAGTCTTTGCTAGTCGTGCTGAACTATTTCAAATGTAAGTGCAATTAGGGTTCGTGTGTATAGAAACGGCCAATGGGTTGTTAGTCATTTCCTCGCTATAAATCCTGTGTTCGCGTCAAACTCCCATGTCGTTGTTCCCGTCTAACTCTGCCTTTGTTGCCGCCGTAGGGTTCCGGGCGCTCTCGCCGCCGCTCACCATCGTCCGTAAGATCGTGCAGCCCAACGAGAACCCGGACGACTTCCTGCCGTCCGTGATGACGTGCGTCAACTACCTGAAGCTGCCCGACTACACCAGCCTCGAGATCATGGCTGAGCGCATCGCCACCGCCGTGCGCGACGGACGGCTCAGCTTCATGCTCTCGTAGTGCGGCCGCGGCCGAGACGCGGGCGGAGAACTTGTGATATAGCGGAGACACACTCACACACGCAGACTGACACACGTACACGTTCACCAAATATGGCGACGGGCGTCGCCGCGCCGCCGGCTGCCCTCGCTCGATCCAGACGCTTTCTGTGTTTTTACCCGAGCTTTTCTAGGATGATGTGCCGCTCTCTGTGCGCCGAGGGCGGCTGTGGTGCCGGCGACGGCCGGGCGGCGCCGCGGCGGCGGAGGCGGCGGCTGGGCGCGCTTTGATACCGTTTTCCACGCACGGGCGGTCACTGGGCCGGCCGGACTGGGGTTTGCGCCGTGCCGGTGCCGCCAGCCGGCCGGTCGGCGGCCGCCGCCGTGTGCGGACGGTCGGCGGGTCATGCCAGCCAGTATTGGCGGTGTTCGCGGCGCCGGGCGCCGGACCGTGTCATTCTGTTCCGCTCTCCCCGGTCGGACGGCGGCCGCGATGTGGCGCCCTCGCGACGGCGACAGTGACGCCACCAGACGCCCAGAGGCGGCCAACACTGGCCGCGCGGCGGGCCGTTTTGTAAAGAGCGGTACGATGCGGTCGCCAGACGGGCGAAATGTTACAGCGGCGCGCTGACTGAAGAGGCGGCGCCCGTAGTGTCTGTGCCTGGGCATACAGAAGTGCCCGCCGAATCCAGAGACTTGTGCAGGGACTGCGAGTTGCGACCGAGTGTAAGAGGGACTCTGTGTACTGTCCGAGCTGTGTACGCGTGTGAGAGGAGTGACGAGTGAGGTGTGCAAAGTGTGAGATAGCCGAGAGGTGGGTGGGGACCGCCGGTGTTGGCGGCACTCTCAGACATTGTGTGCGCGTTCCAGAGAACAGCTGAGTTTGTTTACATTGAAGTAGTGCTAAATTTCTGTTCGACCTATTACAGTTTGTGTCCATGAGAAAAGGGCTGAATACACTGTGAGGCCTCCAACGATGTTTGGAGGATGAAGTTGGGGTGGGCGATGAGATCATGTGACAACTGCGGCTCGAGATGTGGCCACCAAATTGGCTGAGACATTACGGTAGTTGGTTAATTGCACACTTACGGTCGTGCAACGGAAGAGCGCTGACGACCTGTGACAAGTTCACTTGACGATATCAGCTTTGGAGTAACTGGTTCGGTACGATGATTTCATTCTTGAACTTTTTACAACAGACAATGCATATAAGCAGTCAGCCTTTCAGCGTTTTCATACGACAATATCAATATCATGATGGTTTATTAATGACAGAATCAACAAAACATAGCAGCGAGTTGTTTCTTCAGTAACCATGACACCGAACACCACTTACCAAATGATTCTACGGCTGTCATTTGCCTGAGTGTCTTGGAAAATTGACATTGAGTCCATCCTCTAATATCGCACTTGTGACCTAGATAAAGGTGTGCGTGCACTGTGCACATCGTCAAAGGGCGTCAGAGTGTCAAATATGTACATTTGCAGCGCCATCGACGAGTGGTGTTTGGCTTCATTGGTACGTGTCGCGATGTTCCATCGGGTCAGAAGTGCCACCGAGTCCGCCACCAGTGCTGGCCCGATGGAGGAGCACCGCGGAGGTCTGACGCTGCTGGGGCCGGGCTGGTCCGCCCGACCGGGATCGGAATGGTCCGGCGGACCGGGACCGGAGTGGTCCGTCGGAACGCCAGATCGACCCCTGCGCATCGTCGCCATCAACGACTTCCCGTTCATCTCCGTGCAGCAGCGGCCTGATGGCTCCGTCACTTATGGTGGCTTCCTCGTCCAGTTGTGGCATATCATCGCTGAAGAGTTGGGCCTCAGCTACAATATCTCGGCTCCGCTCACCGACGGCTACGGCAGTCAAACCACAAACGGCACCTGGACAGGAGTTATTGGGGACCTGGTCTACGGGCGCGCCGACCTGGCGCTGACTTCCTTGACTCCCACACCTGCTCGAACGGCCGTGGTTGATTTTCTGGATAAGGTTCCATGCTTGACCTCCATCACGACGTTCCTGGTGCGTCGCGACACGGCGGTGACGCCGTCCCTGTCGCCTGCCGTGTTCGCCGGCCTGCTGCGGCCGCTGGGCGCCGACGTCTGGTGGACGCTGGCCGCCATGCTGCTGGCGCTCTCGCTGGTGCTGCGCCTCTCGCTGCGGTTCAACAGTGCCAGAGCCGAGGACGGCCGGCTGGTGCGCGACATGGGATGGGGCTCGTGTCTGCTGGCCGTTGTCATGACCGTGGTGGGCCAGGGCTGGGACAGGACGCCGCAGTCGCTGGCCGGCCGTACGGCCACCATCTTCGGCTGGATGCTGGGAATTCTGATTTACATCAACTACACGGCCAACTTGATGTCGTTCCTTACGACGCACACCGTCAAACGACCCATCAGCAGCTTGCGCGAGTTTGTCAAACAGCCCGACTGGAGTTTGGCCCTACTTCACGGCTCTCACCTTCTCAACGATCTAAGAACCAGCACCAATGTCTACGAACGGAAGTTGTACGAACGCTCAGTAACCGGTGAACGGTTTATTGCCTTCGATAGGACCAAGGAAGACATGCCTCGGGCCTTACGCCCAAAAGTCATGGTACATTTTGAGTTGGACATTCTGCATCACTTTATTGGGAAGGAGTCATGCAACTATGTCCCGCTGCTTCGCACACCCGTCAGACCTGCCTCATTTTACTTGGCGATCTCCAAAGAAAGAAGCACTCTCAAGTCAGCCATTTCCAAAGTGCTACTAAAACTGTATGAAACAGGCTCGATCTCGCGAATGAAACGGCTCGTATTGGAACGAGATCAGATAATGTGCGAGCCTCTCAAACAATACGAGGAGCTATCTATGCATGATCTGCTGCCCGTTTTGTATCTGATTCCTCTCGGAATAGTCGCCAGCCTTGTGGTACTAGCAGCAGAGCTGCTCTTATATAAAACCGGCCCAAGACGATGCCGCGAAATATCTATCAGAACAGTATTGCAAGTGTTTACTGAAGAAGACTCCTGCAATTTCGCTCAGCAGCGCTGCGAGCGGTGCTGTTCGGCCCGAAGCCTCGAGGGACGTCGGATCGGTCTGAGCCGCAGTGGCGCGTCCACACAGACGGAGACACACCGCCCGGCGTCTGCAGCAGCGGGGACCGGTGGGGTCCTACCGGCACTGGAGTAGCTCACCGCGCGACGCCTGCCGCAGCGGTGACCGGTGGGGTCCTACCGGCACTAGAGTAGCTCACCGTTCTGCGTCTGTAACAGCGGTGACCGGTGGGGTCCTACCGGCACTAGAGTAGCTCACCGTTCGGCGTCTGCCGCAGCGGCGACCGGCGGAGTTCTACCGGCAGAGTAACATGCCTATCAGTTACCTACCGTCTGGCGTCTGTTGCAACTTGCAGCGGTGACCGGCGGTGCCTTGCTAGTGCTACCGGAGTCTATATACTCTGATGTTCTATACACTCTGACCGGATTAGCGCACCGAGTGCCAGGGCTGATGACCGAATCACCGATGTACGGCAGAGCGGCGCCGGTATACGGCACCGATATATCGGGCTAACCCGCGCCCCGTATGAGGGAACGCCCCCCTCCCCGTATTTTTCCGTAGATATCTCCTAAACGACTGCGGATATCGTCACCAAACTTTCAGAACCCATCTGGGCACCAATTTTACACATTGTGACTAAATATTATTCCAAAGGCTAGGATAGGTTGGCCACAATGACGTCATGCCCTGCCATTTTTGATCCAGAAACGTTTCCGCGGGAAGAGCTGTCAGGACTACAGCTAGCTTTTAAGATACAGAAAAATGTTCTAGACTTAAAAGGTAGGGGAAGCCGGGGGAAGCCCGGGCGCGGGGGAAGCCCGGCCACCCCGTTTCCGGCTAAATTATTCACAATAAAATGCTCAACTGTTTGTCCTTTCAGCGTGGCAGCTAAGGTAACGCCAGCAAAAAAGTTAAGGCTGACAAAAATTGCATATTGTTAAAGTTATAGCGCAAAAATGATATTTTAAGGGTTTTTAGCTAAAAAGTGAGATATCTTTCACTGTTAATGCTATACCATACAGTACTAATATTTATACGAATGTTATGTAAGGACCGTTTAAGTATTTGTAGTGAGGGGTGACGAGGCAGGCTGGCTTAAGTATGACATTTTTTTCGAATATCGCTGTTCTAAAATAAAAATTAGCACATTGGGGTAACCCCGGGCGAGTGGCCAAGCCTACCCCCAACCGAGAGCAATGCCACTAAACCACTGTTTTCCATGAGATAATAGGTACTGAGCAGGTTTGGTTTACACCTAGATCAAAGATAAATTTCGAAAATAAACATGTTATCATAGACAAAGCCAGTCATGTCACTTAAGGTCAACTAGGGTCAAACTACGTTTTTGCAGATAACGCGACAGACAATGAAGCTAGAGCTTCAAAAATGGTGTCGTTGTGTTCTTCTTCGTCAGCCGAGTCGAATGATATGCAATATGATGCATTAAGGTATAAAGAAAAATAAATTTTAAGGAATTTTGAAATACACATTTTTTGTCAATTTTGCATCAGGATTTTCATCGACCTGTACTGTATATGTAGTAGACGCTAGCTAAAATACCAGTAGTGACATACACTCTTAGATGTCCAGAGCTAATCAGTACCTTAATATTTCACTTTCCGTTAATATTTGGAAAACACATAATGGTTTCATCAACTCGTTGTAAAGCGCTGGGGAGGTGGCCGGCGTTACCCCTATGCCAGGCTTACCCCAGAAAAATCAACACTTTTTTAAAATTCGATTTTCTCAACCTTATACTTATTCCACGAAACCGAATTTTTGTGAAAACACGGCCAATGAACTTAGCTAGCTAGCAGGATATCAACATTTTATACAGCACGTATTGTAGGGGAAAGTGGGTGTATTGCGCCCTCCTAACCAATTGCGCCCACCAACATTCCCACGAATTCAATGGCATGTTTATAATTTTGTGTTCGAAAACAATATTTTCACCACCGGATAGTTCATTTTATGGCCTAAGCTCTCCGGCGAAGCCAATCAGCAGGGCTCATTACGCCATCAAAGATATTACGGCGTTTTCTTAACTTTTTTGCAGTATTTTGAACCGTTGGCTATAAAAATGTGTGATACGTGTGTGATTTTCAGAGTGATATTTAGAAAGAAAACCCCTTTTTTCATTATATTTCACTTGAACAGTAAACTTCCTTCAGCATATTTATGATAACTTCTACGCTTTTATTAAAAAGTATCTCAATTTTAATTGCGCCCATGGCAATTGCGCCATGGGGGCGCAAATAGAATAATGGTGTAGCTATTGTATCACGACAGTATGATTGCATCATTAACTAATTGCAATAAAAAAAGGAGTTTAATGCCAGGCAGGGGAGCAGCCCGCTGTCGCCAGTCCGCAAATTATTTCTCTCGTCAAACTAAAAATGCAGCTGCCATTTAGGCTGCGAGCTTGTGGTGTAATTGACAAAATACGGCATTTTCAACATGGACTCGGGCGTGAGAGGTGACAGCTATGATAAAAAAGTAAAAACTGATGTCAACAAGTGGTCGAAACGATAAAAACTATTAATTTTGACAGAAACTATTGAAAATTTAACCGTATAGGCGCATACGTTCACATATATCTAGCCGCTTACACTAAACGTTTTCGTTGCACTTGTACAAGCATACGGACACATGTAAAGTGATTTACTTGGGCAAAAAACATCGCGATTTATATCTACATTTATTATTTATCCAGCCTGATTAACATTATAAATGTTTAAGTAAGCCGCAATAGCATCAAACTGCCGGGGTGTACGCATTCCGTGTCATTCGCTTAGCCATGTTTAAATATAGGGCGCAATTGGATTCTAATTGCGCCATCCCCCTGGCGCAATTTACAGCAGTTGTTGGTAAATGCGCCCTTTTGCATGTTTCTGAAAAAGCAGCTGTCGGAAGCAAACGAAACATTCTTAATTGATCGGGAGGCTCTTAAATCGTAGCTAATGAGTTCCTCTTTGAAGTGGTTACCAGTGCATGCTTATATCTCCATCTGTTTTCTTACAATTAGCGTTTTTCCTTAAGGTGGCGCAATTCACCCTCCTTCCCCTATGTAATAAAAATGAAAAAGAGCTTACTATGCCGGGCTTCCCCCGGCTTCCCCTATAGAATTAACAGCGCTATCACTTACCTATATATAGCGATAGTGAGATGCAAGATGTGTTGGCTGGCCGCTGGGCAATATACAAGCATCATTCCAGTGGTGGCTGTTTGATGCGTTACTGTGTCCATAATTTGGATGCGGTTAACCCGCGCCATGCTGGGGGGGGGGGGGCGTTTTCACGCCTTCCCCCTCAGGCTTTTCACGACTATATCAAAAACGGCGGCGTGCCATTGAAATGCCCCTCTTTTGGACGAATATCGTTCTAAACGCTCTCAAGCATCGTAATAAGAGGTAAACATGACACACTGAATAGGAAAACTGCACCTTTGACCCCTGTGTGCCTCTGAGGTCATCTCAGGTCACGCAAGGTCACCACTCGCCAGCAGTTTTTTACTATCAATTTTGATAGAGACGTATTAGAGCGGTGATAACAAGTCAAATGTGTTCAGTTTGATGATACGGATCGATTGATATGCAGCATGACCCTTTCAAGTCAGATCATGACCTTGACCTGAGGTCAAATTTTCGAAATGCATGATCAATGTCAATTTATATTGTTCGGCGCGTTTCGACGAGAAGAACACGATGCTGGCAAAACTAATGTCGTGGCTCTCTTGAGTCAAAAGTTATTACCGAGAAACATTTTTCGTAAAACGGCTTTTTTAGTTTTTGCCCTCTAGAGGCTAAACCGCTGACCTTAGGTCAGATCTGCAAACTCAGAAACGCCTGTAAATAGTAAAGCAGCTATCGAATGCGTTTCTTTTTTCGCGACGCTGTAGTTCTATTGGTTTTCGAGTTACGTCGGGCGTTTCGAAAATTGTTGAAATAGACAAAATTTGACCTTTGATTATTTCTGGTGACCTGACCTTTAACCTGACCTAAAAATTGACCAAAGTATTTCCGTCATTATCTTTGACGCTCTTTCGAATGCCGCTATACTGCGTGTCACTACGTGACCCGAGAGCCTAGTTAGCCGGGGGGGGGGGGGGGGGACGTGAAAATTCCCCCTCCCCAGCACGACACAAAAAAATAAAGAAACCAGAAGAGCGGGTTAAAAACCGATGTCTTGGCGGATGTATGTTAAGAAGATCAGGTTTGGATCGTCTTCTATAATCATGAATCATGTCGTGTAATCATCATGAAGCAGTTATGCGTGTTTGATTTTATGTATCTATTTGAGAAAACTATAAATACCTATTTGTCAGCCTGCCGTGAGCCGTCTACCTGAAAGTGCAGTCGGTAACAATTTGTCAGCAACGTCTGACTGAAAAGAGTAATTCGCCTGAGCTTTGATTATAAAACCCACCCGAGAGCACAGATGAACTCATTTACGAATTTTGCCCGGAGCTATTGACTTGTCCCCGGAGCTAGTTCCTGAATTATGTATATGATAGGATTCATGCAGTAGGTACGAACAACAAACGAGGTTAAAGTCGCTCGTTGGCTTATTATCTCGCTCTGTCTGTGGCCCTTCGGCCCTTTCTTCTTTTCATGACCACAAAACTTAGTCAGAAACGACGCCACTCGTGATTCGCGCAAGAGATATTATACCCACTGTCACACATCAGCATTGTCCAGAAAAAAAAAAAAATTCATAGGTACGCATGTAGGGAGCTAGCTAGGTATAACCTATTCATGTTCATAGCTAACAGCAGTTTGATATGGACATATTTCAACAGATATTAAAAAACGACGACCCTTTCGATTTCGCTCAAAATCGATGCCTAATGGTTAGCAAATGAGGCCCTGACCATAAACCCCAACGGTATTTTGCCTGGCACCCAATATTTCATTTTAGCCTCAGCGCCGAAAACGACGATTGCATAAAAACGATCCGACCCTTTCAATTATGCTCAAAATCGATAGGTTAGCAACTTGAGTCATCAAAATCTCAACGGGATTTTGCCGGGCATCCAATTGTTTGGTAATAGTAGCTGCACGAGCGTCATTTTCCGAAATTTATTTGTACGGCTTTAATGCCATGGTTAATTTTAGAATGCAAAAGCCATTCATACCATGCAACGTCATAGAGCTAATGTTAAAATTCATGAAATTTCGCATTCCGAGCGAAATCAAAAGGGTTGTCGTTTTATAATATCTGTAGGATATGTGAATATGGAACTGCTGCCAGCTTTATATTATACGCGTGCTATAGATCTTTGACGGTCGAAATGTCATTCTCTGTGGCATCGCCATTAGCGACCAATGACTACGCGAGATAAGCCAAAGCGGTGTATCTGTGTAACCGAGTCCCCTGCAATAATTTGTAGACCGGGAAACGGTGTCTGGGCCCTGGGACCATACCCAATGATCTCTGCCATCAGATTAGTCCAAACCTTATCCACGTCACGAGTACTGGTAAGCTAGCTGTCACGATTGGAGTTCTCAGTCTAGAGTGGCAAAAGTTCTGTCATTATATTCTGCAAAGCTGCACTTACATAGACCATATCCAGACAGACGTTTCCACTCTGCAAGACTCACGTTGGTAAATTTTCTTTGGAAATCGTTATCAGCCCAGAACCAAATAGCGATTATACAATGTAGCGGTCGTAGTGAGTCATGATGCCATGATGTATTCATAACAATAATTTTACATTCTTTATTTACATGTGTCACCTACATTGATACAAAGTTTGTACTTCATGCCCTTATATTACAAAAAATGAATTGATTTGACTTGCAACGCTGAACGCCGTGGTTATCTGTAACAACATTCTATCGTGTCGGCTGCATTCTATAATGTTTTTCTTCTTCACCCGCAACTGTGATGAGTACGGAGCATCTTGTGATTCTCGTAAGCTACAGCTGTTCTGTACTGAGAGCACAATACACAAAGTCCCACTCCCAACAGAGCCAGCGTACATGAGAACCGTATGGTCATCGCTGACGCTCTCCCCTCCCCATGCCCATTATGAGCTGCTGCTAACTTTATGCACACCCTGCTATTCAATCGACATATATGGCACACTGACGCTGACGCGTCCGCCCTGCTGCGGTGGCCCGACCGGTCAACAGGTCTCTGACCCCACCGACCGGCGGCAGCCGACTGACGGTCCGAAAATGCTGACAAAAACTCACTAAACGTCTGTAAATACCGACTGCGAAAAACGACACCGGGCGATGATTAATTCATGAATACGCAACACCGAACAGCCACGCATGTTGACTCGAAATGACTCGAAATTCGCTCATCACTGTGTGGTCGGTTCGCGTCGTTTCGGTCACTCGACATTCCACCTGGAGAAGCTGAGAGCCGGCTCTGCAGACTGGACGGGACGGGAACGGAGGCCGGCGCGGCGGCAGCACTCTCCTGCGGGTGAGTGGACAGTGCAGCGGCGGCCGTGGAGTCGAGAGCAGCTCTGCAGGTCAGCTCCTCTGGGAACGACCTCCACCTGGGCGTGGTCCTAGCACGGTTGTGTGAGAGCCGAGAGGTCAGCACGGCGCTGCGGCCTGCACCCGTCACCATCAGCACCAACTAGCACCACCGGCAGCGATTCGGCGGCAGCGTGCGAGCCGGGCCGTTGGCCTTGGCTGCGAATGGGCCCGGGAAAAGTGCCGGTGCCGGTGGCCGGTGTGGCGAGCCGCCCGGCCGCGCGCGCTGGTCAGTGGTGAGCCGCCGCGGTCGACGGCCGTGCCGTCATCAACACAGTGGTGATCGGTTGGGCGTGAACTTTGTGCTGGGTGATCGAGATTGGGATGTGGTGTGTGACAAGAAACCCTTAACGTCGTGCGAATCAGGCGGCCAAGAAGAAATTTCTGGCCCCGTGCATATCTGTGTTTAAAAACATAAATCAGACAGACGCAGATGCTCAGTGAAGCAGTACTAGTTGCAGCAAAGCGTGACCTGCAACTCGTGACCTGTGACCTGCAACCCGTGACCCGTGATCCGTGATTCGTCACAGTGCCAGCACCCGAACCAACATCAGCGCGCGGTGCTGACGAGCTAATCTCCACGAATGCGCTGATTCAGAGTGCTGAGCGGACCGAGAGGTGACCGGATGTCAGGATGTGCGCTCTGGCTTCCCCAGTGACGCCACCCAGATCTGCTGCAAATCGTATCCTGCGAAAGCGTGAGGCCGGACGCGCTTACAGTGGCGAAACGCCAGCTGCGCCGGTTTTACCAGCGAGGTCGGCCGTGCCGGTCAGGTTTCTAACACCCGCCCTGTCAGTGTTGTGAGTTTTGTGAGAAAGCCATCCGCGGAGTTTGGGAGAGTTTTAGACGGCGAGGTTTCTGTGAGTAAGACTACATTCTTCAGTTCGATCCCAGCGAGGTCAAACCAGGTCACCAGCAGGTCACAGCCAGACAACAGCCTAGTGGACACCCCACCCACTCAGGCCATATTAGCTGGATCGCTCTGGGGATCTAACCGTGCCTGGCTCGGCTCTGAAGCGGCTGCCAGCTCAGCCCGTCTGTGCGTGGGAGAACCGGAGTGCTGACCTGACCGAGAAAGGGGACTGACCCGACCAGCGCGACCTGGTTACGCTGTGGAGAGGTCAGAAGCTCCGAGATGTCTGCATCAGCCCGCCATCGCCACTGCTGGTGCTGTGTCACAGTCATCACGGCGGCTGTGCTCCTCAGCGACCTCGGACGAGTCCAGTCAGGTAAGGGAGAGCAAGGGACAGAGAAAACTAGAGAGAAGAGAAGAGAAAGATAAGAGACGTGACAGGGATTCCAAGCTAGGCCACCTGTGACCCTGTCGTTAACCCTCACATTTATCCATGTCAGAAGGATATTTTTGTTTATCCATGTTTTTCTTCTTTCACCTACTTCGAGCATTAATTTTCGACATCCATGTCCATTAATCACTCATCAAGCCCATGGATTCACTGCACGTCATACAGTCGTGTATCGGTTGTCTATGTGTCCAGCATCGGTGTCCCATGTGTCCGTCACAAACCCGTCTATCTGTGCCCTTATTTGTGTCCGCGTGTCCGTGGAGATTCCATATTTGCCGCGGTGCTGGTCGTCCTCAAACGATATCACGCGAGCCGACCGGCCAGCCGTCCTACCGGCATCGCTCGCGTCGCGACAAATACCGCTGACCAACCTTCCAAAGGCGCTCGGTTCGGCCCCGGCCGGTCGGTCAGCTGACGAGCCCCGGTCCCGGATCCGGCCCCAGTCTCTGGCTCGTCCTCCCCGCCCTGATTCAGGCCCGCCGAGGAGTGGCTTCCCACGATGGCCCGACTGCGGGCTCGGGTGCACCGGCTGGGGAGCGGTCTGCGCGGCTCGAACGGTCCGTCGGCGCCGTGGCCGGTCGGCAGATGGTCCGATTATGTCGGCTCTACCCTGATTACGGGCAATGACGGCGGCGCCGACGGCTGCGTTCCCGCGCGATAGGCGTCGGCACCGGTCTGCCCGGACGAGATCGCAGAGCCGGTCCGGGAAGACGGCGGGCTTGATCTCGCTTTCATCCGTCGGAGCAGGTCGTGAGGTAGCCCAGGCACGTCTGGTTGACGGAATTTGGGGCGATTCAGATCCAGTCAGATGTGTGAGGACTTAGGTGAAACGTCGGTAAATTAATGAATTTAATTGGAGCTTGTAAAAAGTGAGAAGCGTGCCTGAACGTCAATGTTTTAGGATTCCCTGTCCTAGATGTTGAAAGAACCAGTTCTAAATACGTTGTGGGCTGTACTTCCTAGGTGGATGTCTTCATAACAGCAGAAGTTGCAGCAACAGCGCTCATTTTCTGAGGCATGGCCATTGGCCAGCGTTAGATGAGAGGCCGTGTTGTAAGCGAAGGCCGTAACTCATGGTACGCTCGTAAAGACGGTCTGGTTTAACACGCGCAGTGGAAGGGTTGCGAGTACTACGCCCAGTGGAAGGGGGGGGGGGGCGGATGTCGCCCCCCCCCCTAAGATCTCAGCTCCCACTGAAGCTAGAAAGACGAAATTTGGAGGGTAGGTGGGGGCCATGGGGAACTCTGTTGTGTGTGAATTTCATGACCCTAGGTCAATATCCTCAACGTCAAATGAGGTCAAATGTGGTCAAATCTGCCATATGAGAAACTTTTTTGCGTTTACACGCCGATAACTCAAAAAGTTACCGGCCGATTTTCTTTTTTCTTTCACTATACAAAAGAACAAATATTTGTGAGTATGTATGGTGAATTTCTAGATAATTCAACAATACATACGGCAGTTAGAAGCCTGCTAAGGGTAAGATGTCGTCGGCTGAAGCGGGATCGGCCGACGCGGGAAACGCGGCAATCACAATTTTGTGTTTACACACTCATAACTCAAGTTGTTACCGGCCGATTTTCAAAATTCTTTGACCATATGATTGGCTGTACATTTCTCAGTCTTCTCACCGAATTTGACGCGAATCTAATATAATCAGCGGTAAGGAGCGCGATGTAAAGACGGAACCATCCCACCCCGGCACAGTCTACAATTCAGGCGGCGCGTAACGGCTAGCGCCGGCCGCCCGCGCCGCGCCGCCGCGCCGCGGCGGCGGCAGGATGTTTGACTTAACACCGCTATTACTAGAAAAGTTGTGAATTGATTTTCTTATCTCTTGCACGAGAAGATCCGCAATTCAATTCTGGACAGGTAGCCGAAATTTCACATTAATATTATGTTTGCAGCGCGAGTTATTGGCGAAAAACAGGAGGGGTGGGCGAAATCCGCCCCCCTTCCACTGCGCGTGTTAAGATGCAGACTGCAGCTAGTATTCAGGTTTCCGAGATGTGAGCGTCTAACAGATGAATTGGATTGCGACAAAATCTAGTCGCAGGATTATGGCGCGTCATGCGTTACATTCAGTCTTCAGATCTTCAGATTATGCAATTTACATATTTTATTTTCACTCAATACTTTCAAGTGTAGGTAACATCACAAGCCTTGAGGATTTATATACCTATAACGATAAGTGATTATCAAGCTTTAAAGCATATCGGTAAAGAAGATCAAACTTCCTTGCATCGACCCAAATACCTATTTTTCTTTAAAATCAACAAAATTTAATTTCTTTCTGTGTTCCTAGCTATGTTCTTCACTCATTCGCTAGAGGGATGCAAAGATAACAAATTCTTATCTTTGCAACCCAGAGGAGTGCGAGATGGAAATATCCCTGCACTGTAAACCCAATGACAAATAAACCTCAACTAGAAAGATAGCTTGATAGCACACCTCGGCCTTATTCTCATCATTCATGGAACGGCGTGGGTCCCAGAGCTTGATATCCTAAATGCTGACGTCTATAGAATTCTGCTTAGAGCAGCGCACTGGTCCCGTCACAGTTAACACACCTAGCAACAGTAAAAGGGAAATAAAAGCAAACTGAGTACCTAAGTACACGCTACACAGTAACCCCTGCGACCCACCGCTGGCCAATTGCAGACCATGAGTGATTAGACGTTTGTGGAATCTGAAATCTAATGATACCCCGAGAGTTATGAACCAATTCAGCTCTGTAAGCAATATACCTACTTATATAATTGCCAGCCTATTGCCTACAACGGAGCGGTTTAGTGTCCGAATAACGACCCTTCACATCTGTACTCAGTGCCGATTCTACGAAAAGAGAACGGTCATACTCCACTTTTCTCAGCTGGGGGACACAAACACAAACACACAGGTGCCGTCTATACTCGGCTGCTGGTTGACAAGCCGTATCAGCCGTGCACCGCACTGTGCAGCGGTACACGACCAGTGAGTAAGAGAGAGCACGCAAGCATCGGTCTCGGAGCGAAAAAGGCAAAATCCCACGGATACCTGTTAGATATAGAACGCAGCTAGAGCGCTGGATGACCGTTAAGCTTTTTCGCATAAGTCATGAAACCATTTTCATATGACACACGTCCTCGCGGCTAAATATTTCAGCCCTGTCAACGCATAAAACTAGAATGTAGGCTAATGTTGTAAGGTCAATATGTGTATGATGACTGATTCCACCCATGGCGTTCGTTGAAGTTGACGAAACACGTTCGTCGTTCACCAACATACAACATTATACCTACCACCAAACGGCATGCATATAGTAAGATGCGGTGCAATCTGGAAAATTACGTTTGTTTTGTAGGATGCGATTGGCGAACGGTTGATAATGCCATTCTCATGAAGACTAGTTCATCACATTTTCATCACATGCATTAGGTAACTGCGTCACATAGCATTTCGTTATACCACAATGCTGAAAACAGTGTCCTGAATCTGACTCCTGAGGACGAAAACAATGCCTTGCTTACAGCATAACCGGTTCTGATGTGCCCTTGAAGCTCGTTATGAGAATGCATTGACGCGTGGCAGTACATCAAACCAGTGACGTTCAACTTATAGGCCTCAAAAGTTAAATGTAACAAACGTACTAACGAGTTTGTTTCAATTTAGTTAGAGAGCTAAGCACGTGTGCGAATGGCACGACTAGCGGCAGCGACTTGGTTACAAAATAGAATTTGAAAGCTACCTGTATTTTGTACGTTATCTAGTACAGATATATGTAGGTGTATAAAAACGACAACATTATTCAAATACATAATATTTTTAATGCAGGTACATATGCAGTGGTCAAGGTATAGGTTCAGTGTGTTTCTTAAAAGTTATCAGTTTGAGCTGCACAGATGCTTACCTACCCGTCATTTTTCAAAATATCAGACGTCATTTTCGATTAAAGCACTGAAATAAATTCATGATGCTATGATTATTTATTGTTAAAGAGACTTGGTGCAGATTTGGTCAAATTAGGTGCATTCACCAGATAGCCAATCGTGAAAACGGCTAATGGTTATCTAAATAATTATGGGAAGGCGTGTCTTTCTTCTCGATGATACATGATGACCCGATTTGGTACAAGCCCGCACAGAGTACATGGTTTTGTTTGCTTATTGGGGCTTAGGACGCGCCGACTACAAGGCCATTTTGCGCCCAAGCACATCGTCCTTGAACCAGATATCCAACGAAAGTCTAATAATTAAACAAAAAGATGAAGTGCAAAAGAGGCCAAATCGCTGGTTCATGGGTTGCGTCCTCAACCCCCGTTAATTCTTTTATAAGGGC